GGTCCCTGGGGATATGAGCCAGGGGAACCATGCACACGGGATGTGATGCAGCACGTGGGGGAGTGGGGGGATCGATGAGGACCAGACGCAGAGAGAGAGCCTTCCACACAGAGGCACAATTAAAAGAGAGTATTTAAATAGGCTTTTTTTAGCTGCCTGTGCTATTTGCAATCTGGGCATTCTTTTCTTATTGCTGGAATCATTTGAAGCTTTCCTACAGTTCTTTTTCCCTCCCTCCCTCTCTTTCTCTCTCTCTTTTTCCTTCTACCCTTTGAAGCAAATATATTTTAGTGTACAATCCGTTAATCATGATATTCGTCTTTCTTCCTTCACACATCTTTCTCGTGTTGTGTTCTCAGAATCAGACACCATTTTATTTTTTGTTGCCTTAATTTGGTGCTGACGTCATGTCGAGTGTTGCTTTCAGTCACGTCTAAAATAAATGTCAAAGTATGATACGATGCAAATGATCCCAAAGTCAAAGCCAGTGAATTTGCTTTTTATGGTTAGTGTCATTATCAGTAAGAGCATCAAATCTCTTTAACATAGCCGTTTATTGGTGTTTTTGATAGTTATTTGAAACGTTTTTGTGAGCTGTTCTGTGCCAGATAAAATTGATTTGCTTTCCCGTGGCTGAGAGCAGTGTTGTGATTCCTCTGCAGTTTGCTATCCTCAAAAGACCACTGCAAAAAATGGGTACCTGGTTCATTCAAGAGCCCTAATGCCCGAAATGTCTTAATGGTAGTACAAGTGAACAGACAATGAGGTCAGCTACCTGCGGACATGGGCCAGGGTTTGGGCACAAAGGGACTCAAAATCAGTGCTGTACAGCTGGATGTAGGGACCAGCTGAACTAGCACAGTCTACAGATCCTGTTTACCGAAGCCCCTGGAAAACAAGAGCTCTGCCCAATCACGTTTGCCCAGCTGCTGCTGAAGGTCTGTTGCCGCCAGTGCTGCTTGTAGCCCTGAATGCTGCTCAACAGTGTAGGGAGCATGTCCAAAATAGAAGTAATGGCATTCATGTTAGTAGCTTGTTGATCAAAAGGAGATCTCTACATTTCATCAGTTTCTGGGAAGCGAATCAGTTTTATCTGGCACAGAACAGTCCACAAAAAAAATTCAAAAATTTAAAATGCGACTTTGGGAGTGCATTCCTCAAAATGATGCTGTGAAGCTATTGCTGCAGTTGTTTATGCACCAATATATTACCACATTACTGTTATAGCCTTTGTAAAAATACCAAAAGGTAGGACGTCATGAAAGTCCTATCCTTGACCTGCTCTTAGTCCCAACCAACATGATTTAGGTTTACCCAATTGATTCTGTCAATTTTAATAAATCATTTGTTTGACTCCATAATTAATCTATCCACAAATCAAGAACTTACGTTAATCTCCTTCATTTAGATTGAGATTCTGTTCTGGGAGTAAATCTGAAGTCCGCAATGATTAGCCATTTCATTCTGATCTCCATTTTAATCATATACAATGACACTGGATTCAGCGAGTCTGATGTCCAGTATTTCTACTCACCAATTGAGTCAGGCTCTTAATACAGAAAGAACAGAAACTGGAAACTGGCTATACTCTATGGCAAAAAAATAAATTAATAAATAAATTTCAAAATTTGATTGTTCTTAACACGTTACCATGAGGTCCAGTTTTGAACAGTAATTCTTCCTGTTTTAATGAAGCTTTCAGCCTGTAACACAGACATAAATATTGTATAGAAGCTGGTTCAGCCGACTTATTGGACAAGACTGGTTTGAAAAAATCGTTTTATTCACAATGTTGCTGGTTGGCTTCTCAAGAGAGCAGTCAACCGAGCTACAAAAGCCCCTAACCTAAAATTCGGATATTTGACAAAATACTGGCGCTTATATTTTTATCCAGCCTGGCTGTGAGTGGGAGTTTGGTTTAACATTTTTAAGAGAAATTATAGAACATGCCAACAAAAATATTTCCTAGTGTCCCAGCTAACATTGTGGAACATAGTTAGTGGAATCTTTAAAAGTCAATTTAAAGTGAATCAGTAATCTATTCCCGCTCTTACCTTTACCACACCTACATTACTGGACTTACTGAAAAATAGCTACGACTGCATGTGGCGACTGCAAAAATGAAATAATAACTGTCACAAATGTGCTATGGGTGCCTCAGACACACTTATGAATAGGTACCACATCAGAGTTAATGGTTAATTATTGCCACACTCAAAGCCCAATATCTCTCCACTCATAGCTCTATCAACACAAAAGTTAGCACATTCCTCTTTCTTGCTTTTCTTGTCTAAAATAACTGTTGGCAGTTGAGTCATAGTTACAGCACGTAGAACGACAGGGGCTGAAACCTGAATACAGACCTGTACCTAGAGCTGCACTGCTTTTACTGCATGTATCCTTTTGGGATCTTGTTGGCATTTACTGATAGCATCATTTAATAGTGTGATTGTTTTTGAATGGCTATTTGAAACAAGCTGTTTCTTTGTAACTTGCTTGTACCTCTGGATCTCTTTGCTTATTCAGCGGGGAGGAAAATGCTCTGTAATTGGCCATTGTCACTTAAAATACCTGTTTTGTAGTTCAGCATGTCTTCGTTTGCTGCCCGAGCTGGAACATGGCCATTTCATGTTGGAATCAACTTAATGAGGCCCTTTCAGGCACAACTTGCCTCTGTGACACCAAAGCCTGTGTAACTTCAAGTATGTGGTTAATTGTAGCTTGCTAATGTTAGCAAAGCTCGGCTTGGATGAAACCGGTTACGAATTTGAAAATGTAGTCACAGGCAAAAATGTCCTCCTCGTGTGCTTGTGTGCATAAAGTGACATGAATTAAACCACAAGGCTGAAAATATATCTTCCTTATTGTGGAGGTTCCTGTGTCTCGGCATGAATGGTTCTTTTTCCTGCACTGTGTTGTAGTTTGTGGTTTTATCTTCTTGCCATGGTTGCTGATGTCTTTTGCTATGATTTCTGGTTTACAAGTCTACTGTTTTCTCTGTGGAAATGCATGTGTGGCTGTGATACATCTGTAAAGTTGGTCTGTGCAGTAAACATACAGTACTGGGCAAAAGTCAGAGCCCACCCTTCATTTATTTCATTTCTACTCAAAATGACCTTTAAGAACAAGTTGGAAGGAGAAAGTCACAGGAAAAGGAGTGAAAAACAAGTCTCCAAAAATAATCCTAACAACGACCTGGAAGACCTAGTTGACACCAAAACTGCCCCCATCAGATAAACAGCACTTAAAGCTTTCATCTTTGAGAGGGAGGAGAAAATCAGGCTGCTTCAGATCTGAAAACATCCACAGGTGTTTCTGTCCATCCTTCCACTGTGAGAAGACAACTCAGCGCTATGGGTCTGAAAGGACATAGTGAGAAAAGAAAATCGACAAATCAAATAAACTGGTGTTTTCGGAACAATGGACTGACCACCCCAGAGCCCAGACTGCAACATCATTTAATGTGTTTGGGATTCCTTGGATTATGAGTAACAGAAAATGCAAAACCAAAATCTAAGGTGTAGAACAATATCCCTGCAGATTTTTTGGAATACTGAAAGCAGAAATCCTGGAAGCTGTAAAAAAGGCAAAGCACGGACGCACTAAATACTGAAAAATGGCCGTTTTGAATGAAAATAATAAAGTGTAAATGAAGTACTGCATATGATGTGCTATGGCCATCAGTCTTTATACAGCACTAAAATTGCAAATGTGACTGAAGTGAGGCTGCAGCAGTATATTCACCTCACATGCACCGTTGCTGTGTTGCTCTGCATATTTTCATAGAGATGCAGTGCTGATGCATTCTCACTTAAGCTACACTGCATGTAATATGAAGGCTCTAGGGGTGCACTGCACTTGTCTCAGACCTTGTTTGAGAGGGAGCTAGAGTTGTTGAAGTTGACTGTAATTCACTTTAACATAAATCATTTCTTTTAGTAACTTTTCCTTCAGGGCCACTTTGTTTGCAGGATGCCATTTATAGTCTAATGTAACCTTTTGATTCTGTCCTGGTGATATTGATTATCCTGTTCAAGTTAGGAGGCGAGTATGGGGAGTTTTCCCACTAAATGTCAGCTGACGTCTACAAAACGTACCGTCTCAAAACGATGGTCCTGAATGGATGTGAGGGAAGAGTTGGTTAAACTATATTTTTGTTGCAGTGCAGCGCTAGCTATGGTGGCGAGCACTCTTGCTGCAGCTCGAGTAATGTCAGGATCATTTGCATGGTGCATGGCAGCTACAGAGGAGGGAAGGGCGCTAGGTCAGGGCCTTACTCTCGCAGAGGGCTTTATGTAAGTGCGGAGCACAAGCTGTGCTGTGAGTCAGCAGGGTAATTGGAGACCGTGGGTGACACAAGGGCCCAATCTTACATGGGGAGAGAGCTGGATTGCTCATTTTTCATACGTGGGCACAGGATGTTGCTACTGTTTTTGGAGCAGCTAAAAGAAATGTTAGCGATTCCACAGCAGACGCTTGGGGGCAAATCTCACAGTATGCAGTTCCAGGCATTGTTATAAAAGAAGCTGTGAATTACAGTATGTGACAAATTGTGCTGACTTGATGACTGACGTTTTTGAGATCGTAGCAAAGAAAAGTTAACTTTGCCAGCTGACCTTGAACGACTAGCAAGATTAGCACCATCACTGTGTGCGAGATATGTCATAATACCCAAAACGATTACTGTTATTAGGGCAACTAAAAGAAATGTTAGTGATTCCACAGCAGACTCTCAGGGGCAGTCGCATAGTGTGCCATTCTACGTTGTTATAAAACAAGTTGCCAGTTAATGTATGTGGTAAATTCTGCTGAATTGATGACTACCGATTTTGAGTTGTAGCAATGGAAAGATAACAGTTGACCTTGTAAACTGCAATATCAGCACCATTTCCATATGAGATGCCACATTACACATTTTGTAATTTATAGTTAAGCACTCACAAACTGAAGTAAGTGACGTTATGCCAGGTTCACTTACGATTCTTTCTTATTTTTAACAGGTCTGACAGGGGATGCAGTCGACCTAGAAAAGAGAAGAGAAGTCTTCGGGCGAAACCTTATACCTCCAAAAAAGCCAAAAACTTTCTTACAGTTAGTGTGGGAAGCACTACAAGATGTGACCCTTATCATCCTCGAAATCGCAGCCATGATCTCCTTGGGACTCTCATTTTATCAGCCCCCTGGAGAGGGCAGTGAATGTAAGTATTGCCACCATTTTCTTTATCTTTTCCTCTCGGTTTGGCTTCGATAACCTTGCCCCGAAAACAGCAGCAGCATGACTCCACTATCCCTGTGCTCAAGGATTACTGTGATGTTGTTTCCATTTTCTGTAAACTGTATTGTATTCCTGCTAAGAAGAAATGAAAACCCTGACAACACCCAAAAATATTCACAATAGCAGTTTGCTTAAAGTGGAATTACACCATTTTTATAAATGTAAGCATAATTCAGTAGTTAATATGTAAAGTCATTCAGAGTGGTCTGCTGTGAAATAGTTAATTGTAGAGAAACTTGCAGACTCAGATTTCTTTACAGTGGCTGTGATAGGAGCCAGAGACAATGTCTACCTATCAAATATAGCTATTTAATTTACTATCCAAAACCACCAGTTTTTTTTTTTAATTTTTTGTTAATAAATTGTAAACCACAGCTTTCTCAAAGCTATTGTAAAACAATATCTTGTACATCAGGCAGCATAATCATGACCATTTCATGTGATAACTTTCTGTGAGGGAGCATTAAACTGTTCAAATGTCCCCTTTAAACAGTTCTGACTCAGTAAGTTTCTCTAGAACTGCAGTGTTTCAGTGATTCCACAGCAAACCACTCTGGATGACTTTGTTTACATCTTAACCATTTTAATTATGCAGAAATTTTTAAATATCATTGGAATTCCCCTTTAATAATTAGAATTTACTATTTACTATTACTATTTACTATCTGCATTACATTTTTTATGTCATTTTCCTAACAATGTTGTGCTATCTGTCGAATACTGTTCCCCAGAAGTTTAATATTTCTGTTTTTGAAAAAAAAGATCATAAAGATCTAATGCTGATAGTGTTTCTAAGAAGTGGAATTTGGGATGGTTGACATTCACTCTGCTTCAGAACCAGCGTATTTGGTACCATGATTTTTTTCTGAGAGTCTAAATATCACTAGTACAAATATATCCATGTTATGGGTCCTTCTATCGCATCTGTAACTCATTGGCACAGTCTCTATGGGGAAAATGAAAATTTAATAAAACTGCCATCAAGGAAGTCCTGTAACCACTGCACCAACTTCAACATGCATTTCCCTTTGCTCGTTTGGCCCTCGTTAACAAGCATGACTGTGCATTCTGGGCCTGTCTCAGACGAGGCAGGGTAGTGAGGGAATCCATTGAAAGGACGATTTCCAAGGACCCAGAGTTAATGAAGTGTGCGCCGGAGAAATAACCTTTAGGTGAAGGCCATACATCAAGCCTCCGGGCCATAAAGCGCACCGTGAAGACAAAGCCATTAAAGCGAGTGTGGAAGAGAATGCTGAGTAAGTAATATCAATCATCATAACGGTCCGGAATTCAATTACACCCAGGAATGGAAAATGATTGTTAATTTGAAAGTATTCCAAGCCCAGGCGCTTCGGAGCTCCGCATACCAGAAGGCGAGCATCACAGACTTTTTGCAGAAGAGTTTTGTGGAAATTTTACACAAATTTGCGAAGCTGTGAAATAATCTTGACAAGGCAGCCTGGTGATTAACATGCAAGTGACCTTGTCCGTTTCAGTGGGGCATTCATGATCACCGCTCAGGTTTATAGGTGGCAGATGTGCTGCTTTTACGGTTACAGTTAAACTGCAGGGGGTTCAGATGCTTCAGAGATGTGGTAGACACTCGTTTCACTTGCATTTTTAACTAATCTGCTCATTCTTTCTATGATGAAACTATAGTGATGTAATTCACTCAAAAAGCAAATTTTGTCATTGATCTGCATTTAGCTGAGCCTGATTTTAAATCTTCATTGTCCTGACAAATAAAAGCATAATGCATTATGCTGACTGGTGCCCACTAGATTACCTTCTTCTTTAGCCTGAGAATCTTTTTTGAATGCAGAATTTGCTTGGATCTATATAAAGTGTGCAGACATCAGGCAGAAAATATGAAGTGTTTAAGTCACAGTTATTGCTGGCTATAACTAAATTAGGTAATTATACATTAATTATATTTCACTCACTTATTGCACATTCTAGATTGTAAACTTTACTACCATATTTGCACTTGTAGGTAGAACATATTTTGTTATGATTTAAGTTTGATGAAAAATGTATATGTATACAGTCTTGTTTTGTGAAAAGAAAAAAAAAAACTAATTTTGATTTTTACTGTTTTTGTCCAAACCAAACCTGTCTATATAGATTGTAAATCAAATATAAAATGCAATTAATTACTATGCAGTTAACTATATACTTACATTAAAAACTTGATCATGTGAAACGAGTCAAAACAATAATCTCTTGACATCTGAGAGTTAAAGATAAAGATATAGATAATTTTGTGAATACTGTATGCACACTGTTCGATGAATTTTAGCTTTTAGCCAATTCCGGGATAGAAAATTCACTTTATTGCTAACATTGCCATCATTTTTTTAATGCGGTGGTCCTTATTTTTATGGAAACTATATATGGAAAGTATGCTTATATCAAACAAAAAATAAGAAGTGTTTAAGCAAGGAAGTACTTTAGTTTGTCCTTTATCCCTATGAAACTTAATGTCTAATTTGTGATCTATTTTCAGATTTTGTCTTTATCTGCTTTAACTGATCCAAATCTGCCCACAGAGTAGTGGGTGGGCGTGCATGTCTATGTTAGGCAGTGAAATGGATCAGTATGTGAAATAGGAGCTTTCTGTGAGCTTCCATGTGTCCTATCACTGTATAAAAGAAGCTCCATGCTACCTTTTATTAAGTGCTTATTATTTAATCAGAGTAAAGTAATTGAAATGCCTCTGAAGTATGAAGTGTTTTCTTGCCCAGAATAGTGGCAAAGTATTTTTATTTAGGGTTTGTAAGATGACATTCTCTAAATATTAAATAAATGCAATGACAGCATTGAGACATCATATTTTTGGCAGAGAAGAACAGATTAAACAGCAAAAACAGCCACTTTTAATGTCAACCTAGAAGCATTAAAGAGCTACTCGTTGGAAAACAGAGGAATGATGAATTTCACAGGTCTTGCTTCCTACCCATGCTGTATTTTAAACTGCAGGTACTCCACTTTCATTTTTTAATAATCATGAAAGTGTCAGCGAGACTTACGACCTCACATAACGATTTGGCCGCAAAGTACAGCCAGGTAAGAAATAACACCATAACTAATGCTGACACCTCAGCGCTATATAGTCTGAAGTGAAAACAGAAGGAGAATTTATCTGCAAGCCTGTGTGTGTTAAACAGTGTGGGTGCATCATTTTATCTACTTTAAGTTGAATCATGAAGATCTAACTGTGTCCACATTGCTGCTATACTATAGACATCAGGCAGTTCCTCTTATTGTTTCTTTATTTTTCTTACGGAGGTGGATGACATTGTCTATGTCTCTTAAGGAAGATTAATTGCGGTGCCTGTCTCTGTGCCCAGACATCCCTGGTGTTCAGATTGAATTATGCCATTACAGTTTTTCAGCCTGCAGCGTTCCCATGCAAGATAAGCACCGGCACCACTGGGATCAATAGAGAGAAAAATCTCACTTTTCACTCGGCTTAGAGGCAAGCAGGCCCAACAACTGCAGGGAACCAGTACTGAATGATTAATTGGTGGTCCGAAAAGCAGCAGTTTATAATGATACAAGTAATATTTTGCACAGTGATATAATGCATGTTTGATACAGAAGCAAAAAAGAAACGCCAACTTTCCAATTGTTAAAACTAGAAATGTAAATGTTTAACTGATTGCATTAAATTTCCAACAACATTATAGTTCTCAGCCCCTCGGTTTAAACAGAACCAGGTTCTTATGGAGGGTATGTTTAGTTTCGTGGGCCTTTACTTCATATACACACTGATGCCTGGCCCCACCTTTTAGTACTGTATTACATGGTCCGTACAAAGAACATGCCGTAATATTTCAGTGCATTAATACAGCATTCAGTTGGTTCATGTGTGCGCTCATACGTCTGTGTACATCAAGTATTTTACAGCGACTTTGAACATAGCTTAGCTAATCAGATTTCCAAACCGGAACTCTCTGTTTCATAATTGATATTTTAATGGTTTGCAGCCTTGATTTAGACTTGTGAGTAACAGTTAATCATTGACTCATGAGGGTCGATTATTGGTCCAAAAAATTTGAAAAACTTGTCATAACAAGACTGCAGGCCCTGGTGAAAGAACAATCAACACAAACAAGTCATTTTCTTAGAAGACAAATTTAATTACACACAACATGTAAATGTTTTTCTTTGTTTCGAAGCTGACTTGCTTAGAAATATCATGTTTTAAAAAAAACAATAGAAACCATTCCGGTTTATGTCAGTATACCCAAAATCAGATATTTACCATAGAATAACATCACTATATTCAGTTTACAGTGCTTATTATCTTACAACCCCCATAAAAATGATATTAAGAGTAGCATAATAGCCTTAGTGCATATTACACTTTTATTATCCCAAGTAGGAAGGTATGAACACTCTGCCAGAGTGTTTACATTGTAGGATTGCGAGGATTGTGGGTTGACATGACTGGGTGGGTCTGCTGGGGTTGGTTAAGGCCTGGTGCTATACATATGTTTTTGTTTTGTGATCGCTAGAGGTATGTCATTAGATTACAGTCATTTTATTACAGGAGTCTTACATATATGCCGTGGTGCATAACTGTGTATTTAGTAAAGGGCAAGTTCTTTTTTTTTCACCCCTCCCCATTCCCGCTTCAAATCGAGTCCTGATCAGACCTAATACAAAAACAAAAGCGTCACAAAACCTGCTTCCAGGGAAAGTGCAGACGCAAAATTAAAGGCATCATATTTGCATTTCAATGGGCTGTAACAGCATACATTAGTGCGCCTGGCCTGTAGGTTCAATCATAAAATGTCCTGTCAGGCACGCTAATTATGTTCAGTGGTTCAAAACGCCTGGGCACAAATCTCACCAGAGAGCGCGTTTGCAGTACTTGCCAGTCCGCGCTAGCGTGCAGCTCTCGGAGAGTCACGAGCAGTTATCTAACACTAGCTGTCTGCACTTCAGGACCACGGACAGCGCCTGACAGACTCTGTGACATTTTGTGCCCAGAAGTGCCATACAGTATGAAGTGCCTTACTGCAGGGGGATTAAATCAAATTAAGCCATCTCCAGCGCCGTCCCTTAGTGCTGTGCCAATGAAACAGAAGTAATGATCAGTCTGTGTAGATTGGACTCAGTGCTACAGTGTCTTAAAGTGGTAGACTCGGTCTACAGTGACATACCCACGAGTGTGCGATCAATATGTTTTTCATCCATTTGTATGGCAGACTCTTTTAAAGATCCTTTAAAGCTGAGAAGTTGAAGTTATTGCTGGCGATAAGAAAAGTTTATTGTAATTTGATATCAATTATTTGTTAAGTTAAGCTCATTCTGATTCATCAGTCCATATCACATCTGTGTTTAGTACAAAAGGATATAGTTTTCTATGAAATCGAATTTGATACAGTTGTGTAAATGAAGCATGTGCACCTATTTTCTGAGTGACAAACTATGCAATTGAATATGCGCTTACATATTTAGATTTGAATAGTATTGCATTCAGCAGTAATAGCTATTGACTTCTAAGGGTTATCCTTTAATGCTGTGGCAAAAAACAGCCATTTCTGACATTTAATCTACTGTTCTGATAACATAATCTCTCAATGCTGTATTTGTTTTGATATGTAAAGAATAATCTAATGAAGTTGAACATTCTTATTTTTTGAGGTCTCAAACTACTGTGATGAGCAAACATTTCATACTTCAGTTCCCTTTTATTGTTTCTCTAATGAACCAAATAAATAATAAACATTCCATAGTGATATGAATATGATTCCTGAATGTATGTGCATGCTCACTCAGGAGCGATCACAGTGCATCCAGCAATAAAGACAGCAGGGAGCTTCTTTTATACAGTGATAGAAAACACAGTAGACAGCTTCAATCACAAGCTGATCCATTTTACTGACCAACATGGACATGTGCGCTCACCAGTTACTGTGGGGGTGGATTTTAATCAGTTAAAGGGGATGTATTGATGTTGAGATACTGGGTGAAATATGAGGGAATGCTTAGTCATGTAGTATTTTTTTGTGTTTTCACACATAAATTATGGAAATACTTTGTCATTATGAATTATCCAGCGAGGTGACTTTTCAGTTGCATTTACTGCCAACTTTAAATATGAATGCCTCTTGCTGGCATACTGGCAGTACCAGGAGTAATAAAAGAAACAATGCAGTTCTTCTCTCAGTGCATAATTCTCTGTTGTGTTATATTGTATTCAGCAGTGGTGGGATCATTGTCACAGTAGCATACATGGCTGTTTTAGCTAATAAGATAGCATTATTGCTCTCATGCTTTCATCGTCTTCCACCTCTGGCTGTGAATTGCTGTTTAATTGTGACTGTTAGTTAACCATGCAGAGATGAACAAAATTGCTGCTCTGCACCCTATCAAAGCTCATGTAGTGCTCATGCTTTACAAGGTAGATCTTTTATTCTGAGAATTCAGCAGGCAAGCTACCTCCAGCAGGAAGACCATTATGTCTAGATCAAGGAGGCACAGCTCCCCATTAAAATGTGTAAAATCATTGGTAGACAAATAAAACATATTACATAAACACAATTACTGACAAAAGAAAGTAAACTGAAAGCGAAAACGCTGTTGACATAAGATATTTTTGTTCACTTAGAAATTATGTATTTAAATGCAGTACTTTTTTTCACTGAGGTCCTCTGCACTGCAGTCTTGCACAGATTAGAAACACACGGTTGGCTAATTGCCAAGCTCACCCCGAGTTAAATCATGTATGTCAGACCAGGTAAGACGTTAAAGCAAACCCTTTTATGGTACAATATACTGTTCATTAAAACACTAAAATAAGTCAACACTTTCCATTCCTAACTCTTCCTGTTTTCGGCCTGTCGTTATAACACTTTTGTAACAGCACTGTGGCTGTTATATCTCAGTTAACTTCTGTAACATGACATCTTATTACAAGGATAAAGAAATGTTTAGTTATATACATTTTCATAGGTTCATATCATATATGCAATACAATACATAAATATTACATGGATGATACTTTGCATGGTGTGTGCATTGTTATTAATATTAAGAAATATTGTTCAGTAACTACTATAATGTATTTGGGAACTGCTATGAAACTAATCTGTATTTAAGATAGTGAGGTATTGAAGTGTGGGTCCACATACAGACACAGGGATTTTAAAAGGTTAACTGAACCAGTGTTTTCGCTCTGGTCAGTAATTTTTCACCGATTGGTCAGTATATCAGGCAAAGAACAGAATTTAACAAAACCATAATCAGTTTGACAAAAGCTTAATCATAAGATTTCTTTTAAAAACTGAAGGTCAGTTTTCACCCTCACTGAAATAAATTCCTGAGGCTGTAATAAAGGCAAAGAGGACACACTAAATAGGAAAAAGTTGATATTTAGTTGTTGAGGCTTCTGTGTAACTTAATAGCCGTTACATAATTGAAGGGTGGTCTCTGATTTTTGCACAGCACTGTATGTATCAGTGATCAAGACTTAGCTTTCAATTATTTAACTCTTCTAACTCTTTCTTTCCCAAACAGTGACTTTCTTGAGGACAGCCTCAAGTTAGACCCACACCTTTTCTCTTCACTACGTTGTACCTCTTTTAAATGGCGTTCATTAGTTGATCTTGTGTTTGTTCATCTTCAATATGCTATATCTTGTCTGTGATGATGAATTAATGAATATTACAAAAAGCATCATAATTAGTATTGAACATACAATGTCCAAACATACTACTGCTGCTGCTTCACTTAAAGCTAACAACGTTTTCCATGTTTCTCTTCTCAGCAACCTTGTTAAGCATTTTACAGAACCGCATGTGTGTGTGTGTTTGTGTGTATCTGTTTGCAGATACATATTTGCTCATAAGTTCTCCTACAACGCACTGGAGAAAAAGGTTGCACAGTTATTGCTTACGTATACAAAATTGTCTGACTAATATTCCCTTTAACTGCCATTGTATTGAAAGCACATTCCTATTTATCTACAGCCTTGTGTGTATACATTAGAAAGCTCTCTCACGCTCTGTCTGCCCACTCCATTCTGGCTTTAAAGTGCTAATTGGATGTATAGCTGTTATATTTCTCTATGTGTGTGTGAGAGAGTGTGAGAGCACGTGTGTGACCATAAATATTTTTTTGTGCAAATTTGTATGCATAAACCTTAGTGCTGCACAGTATATCATTTGTTAAATGTTGTCACGAAATTGACCTTTGTAGTACTGATTTTGCAGAAAACTGCACTATGCAAATGAGCCCTTTAACCAATCATCAAGTGTTTTACTGTTTAATGTTAGCAGCCTGACCAATCACATACATAAATTTGTGCAGATGTATTGTATTTATGTGGATATACAAATTGGAAGTGAGTAAATTTAAAGTAAATTTATTTGGTGAACCTTGATGTATGAGTGCACAAAATAAGCCTCGCTGAAATATATTTATTACTTTCAGTACTTTAATTACATTATTTTCATCATGTGAGCACAGGATTCCAACTCCTGCGTGATTGTAGCCTCTTGGTCTCGTTGGTACAGCTTGTGAATTCTGGGTTACATTGGAGGTTCTCGAGTGGAACTGGAACCAGTCTGCTGTTGCTTTTGTTAATTTGCTGCTTGTAGATCGTAGCTGCTTCTGCTACGACAGGTGGTTCAAAAGATCAAACTAAGAAAAAGCATTAACAGTGTTACAAAAATGTGTCTTGTTAATGAGGCATTTACACATCAACAGCCCTAGTTTTAATAAAGTATTAGAAAACAATATAATAATTGAAAAAGCAATGTAAAGTAATAACAATGTAATAATATTCTATCTGTCAAATTATTAACAGTGCATTTTGTTATAGGTATATCAGTTGACAAAATGAGCTTCATCAGAATATATTTATTTCAATCATTTTCCTGGAACCTGGACATAAACAACTTGTGATTGTAGCCTCTGGCTCTTAAATGTTATGTCTAGTTTTGAGGGAAACTGGAGCTTTACACTGTTGCTTTTGTTAGATTGCTGCTCTTGGATTTATTCATAGTTCTCCTGCGAGCACTGTCTAGCGTAGTCTGCTGAAGGTGGCCTCCAGGGCTAATGTTACTGATGTTGCTGGGATGTGATGCACTTTTGCCCATACTGCACAGCCCTAATGCACCCATTGTAATAAGAATAGCTCTGACCCCTTACTTCACGTCTCTCCTCAGCTTGTGGGGCTGCAAACGCTGGTGCGGAAGACGAGGGAGAGTCGGAGGCTGGCTGGATCGAAGGCGCTGCTATCTTACTTTCAGTGGTTTGTGTGGTCCTTGTCACCGCCTTCAACGACTGGAGCAAGGAAAAGCAGTTCAGGGGTTTACAGAGCCGCATCGAACAGGAGCAGAAATTCCAAGTTGTGCGCGGGGCACAGGTCATCCAACTTCCTGTGGCTGACATTGTGGTCGGCGACATCGCACAAGTCAAGTATGGTATGTATTGCTTCATTTGCATTTGCGTAGTTCTTTTTGCAGTACAGTTCAGTGAAAGGTGGGTGATATGATGATGTGTTATCGTTATTGTGATAAATTACATAATAATATCTTGTTTGAGTAAATGATGGCTGTGAACAGTACTTCTTTCCTTATTTCTCCTCTTCCTTCTTAAAGAGCTTGTTTTTGCAGATATTTAGTTAATTAAAAAGTACCTGAATTTATAGTTTCCCTGGAGTTATATAGTTATATGGTTATATAGTTTTCTTACACCTGGCACTACTGTGTGGCTGGTGTAAAGACACCCACAAATCATAAAAATTATGATAACTGTTGTATTATCTTAGTTTAATGTCGTTTCAATGTATTATGGTCCTTTTTTTCATAACAACCAAAACTCACTTGTAGTATGCTGATGTCTCGGTAGCTAGCTAAGCTTCCTCTGCCACCTTAAATGATGCTGCAGTTACATTCTGGTGCCACAGCCATCAGAGCTGTTGCACCATTTAAGGTGGAACAGGAAAATTTTAACAAGATGCTGGTAAATATCCCTAACCCTAGCTTCACTGAAGAATTAGGAGTGGGTGATAATAAATAACTGTCCTCTTTGAAGGCATATGACTCCCTAAATGTAACTAAATCCCAGCAGTGAGTTTGCTGAACTTTACCCTCCTCTGTTATCACTGCAGACTGGCAGTGTCGCCTACAGAGCACCGCTAGTAGCCTGTTAATGAAATAATGTTCTTTTTTATTTGAGGGTTGTCCCATTTTGAAGATTTCAACCGTTTCCCCCTGTAACTTAGTTGCAAGCGACAAGGTGACCCTCGAAAACAAGGTGTAGGGGTAAAAATAAGAAATGGGATTCGGCCTAAGCAAAGCAGAACTTTTGACCAAGACCATTTTCAAGTGCCTCGATTCTTTCATGCTACCAAAGTGGGTTGCTTCTGATGTGCTGGCAAAGATGTTTAGGTCATTATCCATGGTGTCCTGATGGAGTGGGAGGTAGAAAATGTGGAGCTGTTGACAGTGACAGATAGAGCCTGTGGGGGAGAAGACTTGGCAGTTTGGAAAAGGGAATCCATCTTGGCTAGTTGAAGCTTAAAGTTGATGCGTGCCATTCTGTGGCACTCCATTATTTTTGAATCTGAGCGGGAGTGGAGAGAAAATGATATGCATGGCAAGCTTAGGGGAAGAAGGAGGGCCATGTGAAGTTCAGCAGCAAACTCTGGGGAACTTGGGCAGGAAAGTTGTTGGGCTTATCAGACCAAGCTCTGCGAGTAGCCTTTGGGTAATCAGATTTAATAGTACGATACAAGCCAAGCGAGAGATGCTATCATCTTGACGTTGAGGAATGAGTCTTAGGACCAATACATTTTGAGGAAGCCATGACTCAGGGCTGTATAGTGCGATAGCTAGCTTCTAAGCAAAGTCAAATATTGATGCACTCACATGCGTGCCATGCTTTTTAATGCTGTCATTGTGGTTGAATAAAAAACTGTAGAAGACTGGATTCCCCACAACAGCTAAGAGTAGCAGCTTCAGTTTAGTATCAATTGAAGGGGCAGCCTCTGTCATTCAAGCCTCCTCCTCACAAAAGATTTACTTGCTTTGATTTAGGTTAACATGGTTTCCATAAGCCACATCTCCAGTTCTGCATGTTTAGGAAATAAATAAGAGTTTCCAGAACTTATACATCTTTATACCTCATTTTAAAGATGTGAAGTTCAAACAATGAAGACTGGATGATCTAATTTTGTCGCAAATGCTTAAATCCTACTTGATTCTTGCTTATGCTTGCAAATTGAGAACTTCAGTGTCGTATTCTCATGTATCCTCTCCCAGGTGACCTACTTCCAGCTGATGGAATCTTGATACAAGGCAACGATCTGAAGCTTGACGAGAGCTCTCTAACGGGAGAGTCAGATCACGTCCGAAAATCTGCAGACAAAGATCCCATGCTTCTTTCTGGTTAGATCCTATTCTATTACGTCACTGATCATTACAAGTAGTATCGGCAGGATGTGAATGATCCTAATGTGTCCTAATAGCAATATGATGATGCATTCTAACAGTGTTTATCTGGTTATATGTAACATTTAACAACAAATCGTTGTGAAAAAAGGAACATTTGTACACTGAAATACACTTACACTGCTGTCATATTAACAACTGACGTTATTTTATTCAATAATGGTTATACGGTGTAGATTGAAATACTTCAGTCCACACACCAGCACATATTTTAAAATGTTTTATTCAATACTCCAGGTTGTTTTGGAGCATCAAAAAGTTATTAAATTATAAAATACCAAACTACAGTTAATTTGATCACCTCATTTCCAATATGAGGAATTGTGTATATTAATTTTATTATTTTTTGTTATTTTCATTCTCGATGTTATGCAGCATTCTCGGTCATTATAAAATCTTCTACAGCTTTGTTTATCATGCTGAACACATTCATTTTTATAGCTTCCTACTAATTAGTTGACATATTTGAAGTTGTAAAGTGCTACAATCATGTTAGTCATTTTATAGATTTATCTGCAACAAAATGCATTATATTATTGAATTTTTCATCATTCCAAAGTTGTGAACTAAAATGTATATGATGTGCCAAATGATTTAGCAATGATCATTGGATGATGTTTAATTAGCCAGTACCCAATGTCATTTGAAGCTAATTCAGTGAAAGTTAATAAGGAAAAAAGCTAGATGACGGAAGATGGAAGTTTTCTTTATACAGTGGTTCTCTAACTTTTTAGAGACAACAAGCATTTTCGCTTGTTGACTGACAGACTGACAAACTTTGTTGAGTGTGGCTAACCCAAACACCATTTGTCCAGTAGAAGAAGAAAAAGATGGCAAAGCATAAGAACAAAAAGTAACATAGCTAGCAGTAGCTGGCAAGGCTGGTTGCTGAGAGGAGAGGCAGCGTTACACACCACAGCTTTAGCTGACCTAACTCTGTGTGGCATTAGAAACCGGCATTCGAGTGGTGCCGGCTTGGTCTCTCGCTTCTCATGCTGTACGGTGTTAGGTAAGCTAAAGCTGTTGCGTTCCGTGTAGGTTTGTGTCCTTGCTTGAAATACTGTGCTGTGGGTTACCGCAAGCCGACAGAAATTCTTTATTGGCTCTTTGTTAGCTTGAAAGAAACGAAAGAAAAAAGAACACACAGCGTGCAGAGTAGCAGAGTGTTATGACCAGGGACAGGCATTTGTTATTCTAATGTTCATATATATAAACATAAAGTATTTGAATATTAACAAGAAAATTCTTTTTAACTTTTTTATCTGAAATGGCGCACAAAGAGTTAATTAAACTAAGCGACAAACCTGAACCTACAAGTGTGGCGTGTGGGGTTTGAGGGGTGTCATGCACTGACAACTGTGTCCCCCTCACTTTTAAAATGGCTGTTTCGCCTCTGGTGCTATTTAAAAGTTGTGTGACCTGGCGGTCCAGCAAAACTTGGCTTGCCTAGTCTTGTTTCACTTCAAGTTAATGCAACCTTTTTACTTTATCCTTTTCAAACTTCTTGTCTTTTTTTAACTCAAAATAAACCTTGTAGTTTTATTACTCAGCAGTGGCCATACCCTTTGTGTACCCGACTTGCATTTCTTAGTGTTCTTGCATAGCGTTACTTCTTTCACACACACAGTTGCTGTGCTTGTCCCAGCACAACTTGCGTCCTGTACGTTCTGTGCTAGAGATGGTTATCTACTATTATTTACAGTATCTGCTTGAGTATCTCTCATCATCCTGCTAGCATTACTTACTGCAATGTGCATCCTGAATTACCAGGCACCCATGTGATGGAGGGCTCAGGTCGGATGGTGGTCATGGCTGTTGGTGTGAACTCTCAGACCGGGATCATCTTTACCCTGCTCGGTGCTGGCGGTGAAGAGGAGGAGAAAAAGGAGAAGAAAGGTACAGTATGTAACAGAAGCTTAGTTTCTCAGAAATTCAATAGCAGGCTGTGGCCAAAGGCTCTGGTTCATTTGTGCACCTGTACTTGCTTCCTATACTTAGATTCTGTTTCGTTTGCTCAACACTTAGAAGTCACCCTCCTCTGCTACTCAGTCTTGTCGATACAGAATGTAAATTGAATGTTTGAATTATCATTCAAACATTTAAACAAAATGTATAAAATTGACAGTAAAATTAATTTTTGGATATGCCATGAAAAACAAGTGCGCACATCAGAATTGTTCTATTTGTTTTGCCCTCTTAGTTTAGTTTGGATCCACACCAGATATAACAGAAAGGTTTCAAATGTTTATTCATGTAATTTATATTGCTGTTCATACGATAATAACCTGAACAACACCACAATGAGGTAAAATTGTTTTTTAAACCCCTCTGGACTATGTAAAGTTGCGTACCACATACGTCTAATACTTGCTTACTAATTCCAATACTTGGTGATCTTGCAAACGAAACATGCTGTTATACTTTGATGGGAAGTTTTACAAATCTACCTGTTTGTCTGTAGTTGTTTTTGTTCGCAGCAGGTTACTAATAGCCAATTAATATGTTAGCAAGTCAATTGCATGAGTATTGTTAAATATACATGAACAAATAACAACTAGGAGGTAGAAGTCACTGACCTATAGTGACTGAAAGCCTGAAATTGTTAAGGGAATAGGCTACTTTAACCTGTAATAGATGTGAAATTATCATAATTAGTAAAAATGATTAGAATTAGTAAATAACAAAAGCCAGTTGATTCTGATTGCTGTGCTAAAGCAAAATGAGAGCACTCAGAAATTCGCTAAATAATGAAAAAACATGTTTCTTCCTAACCACGTGTTATTAGTCCATATCAACAAAGGTAGGTTTGTTATTACTATAAACTCTAGAATCATTCTAGAATCATTTTTGATCTCCTGTGTTATGAAGACTGATTTGCAAGACTGGTTTGTGTTTTCCTTTTTCCTACCTGAAGGTTGCAGCCTGCAGACTTCATCAGTATGTGTACCTAATGTACTTTACGCATTACAGAAATACTATACACTGGTTCAAGCTTCAACTGTGCCATGTACTGCCTGCAGTCAGGTGTCTGCAATATTACAGTTGTCCATGTTCTTGGTGGGATTTAAGGATGGTAGGGTTTCTCTTCTCCGTTTCTAAATGACAGTGGTCCGCACAGCGTTTTTACATTGGATACAGTCTCATCCTTGTCCTCATCTGTTGGATAGAGGGCTTTTTGTCTTATGTCGTCTTTAATTGCCTAAATCTATGAGTTTTATCTGACATCACGTTTTGTTTGAAATGGTGCCATGAATATTTGCCAGCCATTTTCAGACAGAATCTAATCTAATATAAGCCTATATGATTTTAGTCTGACAATTGTGATTTGATACCAACAGTGCAATATAGCACTTCTCTAGAATTCCTTAGAATTGAGAATTTTAAGGACACTGTCATGGCAAATCCAGTTAGGTTTTCGGCTTCACCACTTGTTTTATTTAAAGCATTAACTGAATGTTTGTTCATGCATTTGCGGACCACTGCTATATGACATGCAAACAACACGGGTATCTTCTTAGCCAGTAGGGCCATATGAATTGCTGATGTTCTCTGTCAGTGCAAGGCCTTATGTTCTTGTTATTCTGCAAACCACAATACAGGTCAGGCAGTGAAGGATGGCCAACAACTAGCAGGTAGAGTATTCCCTTTATGTCCCCCAGACCCTGTTTTACACCTGGGGATATCCAGCAGCACAGTGTCCCCCTTAACCCGTTTAATACCCTACTAAACTCCCTCTCCCATCCTCAGCACAGCTTTGATCACAGTGATTCTTCACTTAAAAAGAGAAGCTCACCCACTGCATCTTTTTAAGTACACAGATTAAGTGCATTCCATCTATACTCCTGCATAGATGTGCTGATCAATGGGTTGACCGAATCTTCTTTTCAAAACAACTAACTTAACGCACAATCAATTAAGAGCATACATTATTTACTAATAATTGGATCGTAGTAGAACCATATTTGTAGAACCAGATGACTTTTAGGTTTGTTTTGTAGGTCTATATTTAGACTTTGATGTTAGGAGAGAGTATGGCACAACCTAATGCAGGGTAAAATGTAACAGATCTTTATGTAGGTAAACATCTAGCCTATAACCAACTCACAGAAGGCTAGCCAGGCTAATGTACAGCCTCCACATGGCAGGGTTAGTTTTAACATGCTTTTACAATCAAGCCAAAGTAAACAATAAGAGAATATAATTTCAAAACACTTTTTTTGGAAGTTTTTATTTCCAGTTTGGAATATCTGGCTAATCTAACAACATCAAACCGTATTGAATTAATTGTGTTTGTGTAAATTTACCAGACTTTTTCAGTGACTGTTACAGCTAGCCCCCTGTTGCTACTAACCCTGCCTATTGGTGTTGGAAGTTGTTACATTTTCATTTATAACAAAGATAAGTAGGTTGCTTGTATAAAAAATGGATGCGGATATATTTGATGTAACATTATTTACCTGAAACCAAACTGTGCTAGGTTGTGCAACCCTCTCTGCTACTATATACAATTGTAGTGACCAGAGGATGCCCATGATTTCTGAGACTAGCCTATGTAAAAGCATATTATGGATGTTAAAAGTTCGCAATTCATGTGGTTCATGTTATTTTTTCTCTGGTAATTTATTTAAAGGCTATAAACTGCTAGTGGTTTACTGAAAGTGTCTGACCACAAACCACCAAGGCCTATTTTAATAAAAATGTCACATGAGTGTTGTAGAATCATAGAAATCTGATTGTTCAACATCTAATATGGTGCAATGTGCAGGGTATGTGGTTGACGCTTTTCTGGTCCAAAAAGATGTGCTTAACATCAGTCGCTCCTTATTCTGCTTTTCATAACACCAGCATAAATACTTGATTTACATAAAACTGGAAGAGTCTGATTTTTTTCAGATCTTTGTATTTTATGGTAGATTTACCAAACCAATACTGGTCTGGTGTCTGAAAACTGGCCATTCCTCACTCTATTGTGCCATTGATGATTGTGTTGTTCCGTGCTTCAGTTTTGTTTATGTCTTGCCCATGTTATGTGTGAACTTGTCTTATGTTGCATTTTGAATGTTTTTGCCCATTGATGCCATTCATTTGAAACTCCTTTCAGTTGAAAGCAGCATATTTGAAAACTGTACTAATCGTGGTAACAACGCTCTTAACCATGCTGTTTTTGTTCACTGTTATCCTTTATTTTTTGCCCATTGTTATTCGCTAGACCATCCCTCCTCCCACCCCATCGCAACTATAGCTACCGATGGTGCTGCAGGCGCAAATGCCCCTGGTAATACCAGCCTAGTCAATGGTAGGTTGAGAAGACCTCCGTTGTCCCTTCCTCATGGCTCCATCCTTCTCCCTCTTTTCTTTTTTTTTCTCTCTTTGTTTCTCTCTTGACAGCCCTCCTACTGCATGTCACCCGAAATTTGTGAACTCCTCTTTTTGGTCTTCTGTTCAACCCTTTTTTTTGGTTATGGTGCCTATGGCTATCTGTGTAAAGGAGTAAACTGTATTGGCAAAGCTTCAGATGACAGTGTCAGGGTGGAAGATATCAACATTCTGTTCCAGGACTAAGGTAAAGGGTGCGTGACATTAATCCACAGGTCATGTAGTCCATTACAGCACACTGAGACAGAAATCTGAAGGAGATTAATCACCATTGCCCACTGTCTGTTGCCTTAGGAAAAGCACATTCAATTCTAACCAGGCATTCCCAACAACTCTGCTGACCTCTTCCTCTATACATCACACTCTTAATTGGACTATGATCATTTACAGTGTACTAGGATTCCAATTGCATTGAAAAGATTACCGCAAGCTTCAAAATTGTCTTCTTGACACAAATTCTGGCAGAAAATTTTACGACATATAGAGAACAAGAATGATATTTTTGACTATTCTGCATGCACACTGCCAGCGATAAAATTGCTCGGCCTTCGGTTGGTCTCTGGTGGGTGTTTTGAGTCAAGAGAGGCAGGCAGTAAGTTCTACTGGATTGCGTGATCATTTTAAATCCATATTTTATAGGAATCGGAACTAGTACAAACCAGTGTCAGCCTACATAGGCTATATTTGTTCACTAACATTACGTGCGAGAAAAATATTTGAATGTGGACTAATTTATACTCCACCTGCCCAGAATTGCCTAGTGGGCTAAACAGTTAAACTATTGTTAATATGTGATGATGCTTAACCTACATCTGTCTCAGGAAAGCATATTGTAATGTACTTCATTATATGTGCATTGAACAAAACAGTTCTATAGCTTAGAGCGTAGTTCACAATGAGGCATATTGTCATAGTCATTATAAAATTAAAAGACACTTTGAACACACCTTTTTGAGATCTCTGTATATAAACTATATCGCTGCTGTCGGAGCAAAACCTTGTAATCTCCAAAATGATAACTTTACAGGAGAAGGAAAAAAACTACTTTACTTTGAATGTAGGTCAATGGAACCAGACTTTTTACCAAGTCATTTTGGGCTGTTTCCTTTGGTCTATTCATTATGAAGAACAATGGGCAAACAGGCCTTTTTTTAAATTTTGTCAAAAACTGAAAAATGACACAAGCGGAGATGCAAGGTTTTGTTCCGACAGCAGTGATATCCTGATACATATTCACTGGTATACTTGTATATAGAAGTGCTCGTGTCGCACTGCCAGCGGTCACTGTGCTGCCTGCCACATAGCATCACTGCCTCCCATTCAAATTAAATGTCTTTCAGCTGTCTTGATGCTTTGTAGCTGAAGATGTGCACCCACTCAAGAGAAGACCTCCTTATTTCTGTCATAAAAATCTGTAACATTTGATTCATTTTCATTAGGTGGAATAATTCAGTAAAAATAATAAAGGGATAGTTTGACCAAATATAAAAAAAAAGAAATACACAGATTTCCTTTAAATAGTATCAGTCAGCCAAAGACAAGTTTGGTGTCTGACATTTGCTTCTTTAGTTTTGCAATGAAGGCGAATATAGCCACAACTACTAGCTTAGTATGGCCTAAGTAATGCCCATTGTGCATGAACAAAAATAAGAAAGAAATATGAATAAATGGACAAAACGTAAGCTAGAAACATTATTAGCCGCCTTAAGGCCTGAAATTTGTTTGTAGTTTAGTCCATGTTTATAGATAACAGTACGTTATACAGTGACAGAAATCCTATAATTCTGTTTAAGATGAAAACAACTCGGCACAATGTGAGGCAAGTATGTGATGATTTAGGCATGGTGTTAGCACAGTGCTAATTGGGCATATTTAGTCTTCTATCGCTTGTTAACGTCACACACCTAACATATCTCGGCTGACAATACTTTTGGTCTAAGTGGAAAATTTTGTAACTTTGATTCATTTGAAGTTGTACATGTCAGTTTCCATTTTTCTTGCTGATACATTTTGTCGTCTTCAATAATTTTATCTTTTGTTCAGGTGACTCTGTATGAGTATATATGTATAGTACAGGGGTGTCCAGTCCTATCCATAAAGGGGCGATGAAGCTGCATATTTTCATTACAATGAAGTAAAAATTTTCCTGATTTCACAAGGTTAATCAAATGAAGTTTTAAAGATAAATGGTGGTTTGCACAGTGCGATTTGTGCTGTTTGCTTAACAAAACTCTTAATCATTGTGTCATTGGTTCTGAGACGTCCCCCTGATAGCAAATTGATCCTAATCATTGTGTTATTTGTTCTAAGACCTCACCCAGATAACGATTGGTCCTAATCACCATATTGTTTGTTCTAAGACGCCCCCCTGACTGTGATTGGTCCTAGTTACTGTATCGGTTGTTCTAAGACCTCCCCTTCCCTGCAGTTCTAAAACACTGGCTGTGTTTGTTTTCAACTTAGCCTGACTTGATGGTGAACATGAACTGCCGATGACAGCAGGGGTGGGTGATAAATTCACTGGCGTCAAGTCAGACAAATTCTACTTTCCTTAGCTTGCGCTCACAACAATGGCCGACATTCTGCAGTGCCACCAAAAGTTGGACAAAATTTCTAACCAGCATGCCTCACACTAAGTCAACGCTGGGCAGGGCAGCGTTAAGTCACATGAAGTCACTGTGTTGTTTGTTTTGGGACCTCCCTCTGACTGTGGTTGCTTCTAATCACTATGTTGTTTGTTCTAAGACACCACCCCCACCCCCCACCCCCACTCCCCCCTGAAAAGTTTAGTTAACGCGTTATTTGTTGTGAGACCTCCTTTTGACCTTGATTGGTCCTAATCACTGTGACGCTTGTTCTGGGACATCACCTTTGCTCCGATTGGTCCTGCTCACTGTATTGTTTGTTTTGAAACTTCCCACTGACTGCAGTTGGTCCTAGTCAGCGCGTCATTTGTTCTATTACCTCCCCTTGACATTGATTAGTTCACATCACTGCGACGTTTGTTCTGTGATCTCCCACCGACTGTGATTGGTCTGCTGCATGGTGTGAGTTTCCAGCAGTGCTGAGATGACACAAAGTTCTTAAGTACACCTGTGACAGCACGTTCAGTTGTAGTTCAGTTTTGTTTAGTTTGTTTGTCGTAGTCTACTTCCAGCTTTAGTCTTCAAACAGTTGGTATGAGGTGAGCTCCTGCTTTGTTGGAATGAAAACCTGCAGCTACACCAGCCCTTTGTGGATCGGGTTCCCTGGGAATAGTGTATGAATATGTAGTAAAGATTTTTTCTGTAAAAATATTACCTCATATAACTTTGATAAACTGAAGAGGTGATCGAGAGACAGTATAAGTAGGAAAGAATGACGAAACATTCTCAGTTCCAGGTAGTAAGGGACATAAGGAATTTCCATACTACATAATGAAGTTACCCTAATAGCCTTCTTCCCCCTGCCATCTGTGGTGTTGCATGCGCATCCTGATGTCAGCCTCTCCCGCATGTTGTGTGATTGTGTATTGTTGCTCTATTCCTTGTTGTTTGTGTTCTGTGTATGTTTGTTCTATTATCCCATGGAATATCTGAATGGCTTTTTCTTGTATCGTTGATGTGTCAAACTCTTGATCACTGAGGAGCAGCTCGCGTTACCTCTGTTTACTTAGAACACCAAAAAATAAGACAACATTTGAGAAACAGTCACTAAAATATTTCTCATAAGCACAGTGTTTGTATTTTGTATTATTTAGATAATAGAAGATTATCTAATAGAAGATTATCGCTAAGAAGATTCAGATATTCTGTGGCATCTCCATCAAAGCACTGAAACAGCAAACACTGAGTATAATATAGATTTTGTTGCCACTGATTTTGTAACCTATCTGAAATTATTCTCACAGATGTATATGTAAAGTCATGCTGAGAGCATTATGAAAGCTCCAGCCATTCTGCAGAGTACGCACCATAGTTTATCACTATGTAAAATAGTCGCAGCGTTTGCACAAACTTAACTTTTTGGTGCATCGAATGCATTTTTGCTGAGTCATAACTGTCAGGCATTAGAGCCGCTCACCCAAACCCATACTGTATTTCAGTACCTCATTATAAGACAACTGTGCGTTGTGTATGTTACTGTCACTGAGATGTTGATGAAATATTCATTTTCTGTCTTCCTTTTTATTTTGATTTCACTGTTTACGTCCTTGTGATGAATGTTTTATTGTCTGCTTTCTGTTATTTTTGTTCCGTGTCTCGTATGTCTTCATCATAGGTAAAATGCAGGATGGAAATATGGAGAACAACCAGACCAAAGGTAACCTACTTTCACTTTACCGCCCGGTTTGAGCTCTCACGGTGTTTCTTTTCTCTCTTTTTTTCTCCCTCAACGCAGTGCAGATTCCAGCCCCCGTCCATTAAGCCTGACGTCTGTTTGCAGTGTTGTCATTTTTCGTTTCTGCCTGTCTACTGCTTCTTCCGAGTGTGTCAGGGTCTCTTGATTATCTCTTAGTCTCTCTCTGTCTCTCACTCTGTCTCTCTCTCTCTCTCTCTGAAGCTTTCTGCAGCACTTTCATTGGGGTCTGTTCTGAAACATAGATTCTGTAGTCAGAACCGAGTATTAACATGGAAGTACCATCTGCTTGGAGAGAAGGTCAAAAATTAAATGGGTATATTTAACAATGAGCATCCACGCCAGGTGTAAAAACACAGTAAACTCCAGAATTATTGACACCCTTTATGGAAATGAGCTAAAATCATTGTATTTAGTAAACCACACATGCAATGAGTGATCTCTTGGGCTCAAACAAATGCAAATGAGTAAGATATGTATTTTTATTTTTCAGCTCCTTTATATTATCGGGTCTTCGCTTTTGGAATGCCCTCTTCAGTACACATTGCACGTTCTCAACTGGGTTCAATTCTGGAGACTGAAAGAGGCTCTTGCAAACTTTGATTTTGTGTTCTTACCCCTATTTCTGTGTGGATTTTGATGCGTGCTGGGTCATTATCTTGCTCTAAGGTTCACCCAGTGGCCATGTTTCAGCCTTCTGGCAGGGGCAGACAGATTTTGCTCTAAAATCTCCTGATATTTAGTGGAATTCATTATGCCAGTGATTTTCACAAGAGCCCCTGGACCACTAGCAGCAAAACAACCTGGGTGCTTTTCATTGTATGCAGTCCAATATTGTACAAAAACGTTTTTGTCTCATCTGACCACATCATGCAATTCCATTTATTGTTCCAGTGACATTTTGCAAAGTTCAGGCGCTGCATTTTGTGGCTTGCTCTTAGAAAAACCTTCTTTCATGAAACGCTTCAAAAAAGCCAGTGAATTTTTAAATTTGAATGCCTCAAGAAAATAATAGAGTTCCAGGAGCCTAGAAGCAATAAAAAGTTTTTCCCCAACAAGGCAAGTTTATTTGTTTTTATTTAAAATATTCTTTATGGCTGCCTATAATTTTGCCCAGTTTGTTTTTAAAATAATACACTATTCTTAAAATAAAACAAGAACTCTTGAAGGAATGATTTCTACTAGATAAACACTGAGCAATTTCTCCAAACATTACTGAGGAACATTTGAATTAGTGTATGTGTTGTTTATTTTAAATGATTGCTTTTGTCAAGTTTCTTGAGGGGTGCCAATAGTTCTGGAGTTGACTGTATTGTTATGCAGAGAAACAAAAGCAACAAAAGCAAATATTCAGCTGTTGTAGCTGAGTCACAGAAATAATGGGAGATTTTGAAGTTGACATAAGCTTGCATAACTTATTAATGTTTGCCAGATTACATTCTGCTAGTACAGGCCGTTCTTACAAAGCTGTCTCTTAAGCGAAAGGCAGTTTCCTGACACTTTGATGAACATGTTCATCTTGTAGTTTCCGAAGTTCCTGGGAATACTTATTTTCTAAAATTTCAGCATGTTTTCTATATTATCTCAGTGGTCCTTGGCAAGCCATGACATCCAGTTTGTTTACCATGTGGTGTTATCAGGATAGGCTCTGTTGAGTTTCAGCTTCTGGGGACTGTTTGACAGTGTATTGACTTGTGTTCACCTATGAATTTCTTACTGTAGTTTTTTCACAAAGTCTGAACTGAACTTGAGTTGACACTAACCCTGGATGTTATCTTTTATTAAAAAAATGTTTTGTGTACTGGGTGACCTGTAGCCCATTTAAGTATCATTTACATGATCCTAGGTTTTGCCATATACTTGAATTTAGGTAAACACATTGTTTAAAGATATAGCTCTGCAAATAATCTAATTTATGCATTTTTCCCCTGCGATCACCCATAGAAATCAAATTTTATTAGTTATAACAATATCTGGAATGTCCTGATCCAGCAGTTCTTCAGAGTAGCGAGATGTCCTATAATCAAAATCTTTCCCCTCTGACCGTTACAGTGAAGAAGCAAGATGGTGCCGCTGCCATGGAGATGCAGCCACTGAAGAGTGCGGAAGGTGGCGAGACTGATGAAAAAGAGAAAAAGAAAGCCAATGTCTCCAAAAAAGAAAAGTCTGTCCTACAAGGCAAACTGACAAAGCTGGCTGTGCAGATTGGCAAAGCAGGTACTTTCCTCCCAAATATATTGAGGCTGATGAAATTAGTTGCTTCATACCACATATTTGTTACTGAGATATGCAAACATAGAACAGTGGAATTTCAGTCAATCACATTATATTACAGCTCTAAAAACACAAATTCTAACATTATCTGTAATAATTTATTGTAGAATTCTATAATGCATTATAATGTATCGTCTGTTCTCAGGTTTGGTGATGTCTGCCATTACAGTCATCATCTTGGTGCTCTACTTTGCCATTGACAACTTTGTGCTGCAGAAGAGGCAGTGGCTACCAGAATGTACTCCAATTTACATTCAGTATTTTGTCAAATTTTTCATCATTGGTGTTACTGTCCTGGTGGTAGCTGTTCCTGAGGGCCTTCCATTGGCTGTTACCATCTCTTTGGCCTACTCTGTTAAGGTAACATTTGTTTAGAAAATGCTCCCTATGCTTTGGAACCTACACTGAATAATTGCGTAGCTTTGAGAGGCAAAAAATATGTACTGTCAAATCTTTTTTAGATTGAAATTAGAAGCAGTGAATTCAAAGTAGGAATCTAAATTTGATTTAAAATTTTCAATTAGTGTATTTAGTGTTCGATTAGTGTATTTAACAGTGTATTTAATTTGTTCCACAATGTAAAGCGCACACTTTCCAATAGTTTTCTTTTCTACAGCACAAATATACTAAATCAGTCTTATGCTTCCATATCTTTTTTCCTGAAATGTAATGTAGAAAATGATGAAGGACAATAATCTGGTACGTCATCTGGATGCCTGTGAGACCATGGGCAATGCTACAGCTATCTGCTCGGATAAGACTGGCACATTGACCACTAACAGGATGACAGCAGTGCAGTGCTATGTGGGAGATGTTCACTACAAAGAAATCCCAGAGCCCAGCTCAATCCCGCCCAAAACTCTGGAAATATTGGTCAGTGCTATATCAATCAACAGCGCCTACACAACAAAAATTCTGGTAAGAGATCTTTTTGTCTTTCTGCTAGTTAAAATAGTGGCTGTGTTTACATGCAAAGACTTGTGCAGATCTGATTATATATGAATACATTCTGATTATAGATTAAGACTGAGGTGTTTATATGCTCACTCTACTCAACAATCATGCATGCTACAAGTAATCAGATCCAAAATTACACAGATGCGAAGAGAACCGCTTAGTGTGGACATTACCATGACAACGAGCATCATGTGAGTCCGGTCGGAGTGAGACGAGCAGCAGCGACCTGTGTTTTTAATTACTTTAAAATGATGTCGGACTCAGGAAAACGTACTTCACATGTACTTATTAATGAAGGCCGTGAGGAAGACGTCACGTTCTCAGACACATAAGCTGGACGCCCGTCCCACCGCCGTCTTTCAAAGCTCAAAGCACAAACTTTGTCTCTTCTGCAGACCAGTTTCTGCTCCCTCCATTTTTGACATTATAAACTAGTCTATTCCGATTGAGGTGTTTACATGGATGTATTCTATTCCGATTGAGCTGTTAAGTGGATTATCAGGCTGCATGTAAACGTGTCTAGTGTTCTTTCAAGTCATTGTGAACTTAAAGTGCAGTGTCGACAGTTGGCTTTAGAATGACTGGTTTTACTTGGTTTACGATTTGTTGCATGTTTTTAGACTGATTCTCTCACTCCCAGATAATTATTCTAAAAACTTGCAACAAAACAAAACCAGGTAAAAAGTCATCAGTCAACCAGTAATAGATAATGCAGAGTTGGTCTGCATTGAGCTTTATTTGAGATTGAATGTTCTAGCAATCATACCACAATGACCTATGAACTTCCACTACTTTCTCAGACGGTGATTTTCCTGAATATTTTTTCATAGACATTATATTATATTATGTTAGAATAAGCTAAAAATTGCTCTCTAGTCAAAGCGTTTTATGCTCTGTGTTACCAATACTGTGCAAAATCTTCAAAGTAGCAGAATGAAGACTTGACCGATTTCTATAGCACATTCATGGAATTCTGAATGCTCAGTGAGATTTAAAATGGCAATTCACAAACTGTTTAGAAATGTATAACCTACTTGACCTAATTGAATCCAAGCATTGTGCTTGAGCTGAAATTTAAAATGTAAAAACGTGCTTGAGCTAGTTTATCACAGTAACAAGTGGCACAATGTCCATTGTTAAAATCTCACCAGAGCTGTAACACAGTAGGAGATTTAACACTCTCCTAATAGGGCAGCATTGGTTGAATACCTGAGGGCATGAAAGCTGGTACAAAAAATCTGAAATGGCTAATTTAAACTACCATTCCCTGATATATTTTGCGAATTAAGCTGTGCATTAATTATGCTGATCCTTCTCAGAATCACATTACAAAATCAATATGTATGCATTCCAAATTAGAAAGAGGCCCTAAGCTTTAAAAGTGTTAAAATAGAAGTGACTTAAGGTCCAACTAGTTGCTCCATATATACAGAAAGCGGTTCTAACATGGGAGATGTCCTACATTTGGCAGCCCACAAATGAAATTGTGCTAATTGGAATAATCACTTTCCAGCCATCTGTTTTGCAGTTTAGAGCTGCATGTCTTATGATGGTAGACAGGGATTCATTAAAAGGAAAGTTCATCTTTTTGGTGGTTGTATTTTCACATCTTATATTACCATCTGCATGGTGTTTTTGTGTGTTGCTGCCAGTGTGTGTTTATAAGTGATTCATATAATGAAATCATATAAGACGATGTGATATGTTGGCATTCAGTGACTTTTTATTGCCCTTAAATCATTCCAAATTTTAAAAAGAGACTTCTAAGTGTTATTGCAGATCCAAGTTCAACATGTTAGCTTTCATAAGAATAAAAGACATTAAATTTATATCTTCAGTTATCTAATTCCACATTATACTGTAATAATAATGTAACATCCTGCATCACATAGGTGACTAACTTGTATTTATAGGTAAAAATGTCTCCAAAGAAAATCCTTGAAACATCTCCTTTTCTGATATTTGCAGCTCAACACTTTTTGCTGTTATTATTTTTCTTTTATACTCAAGCTGCACCTCGGTAGAGGAACTTGAAAGTACCTTTTGTGCGGTTGTTTACAAACATTAGACCTTCACGTGTAATCTGCTCAGCTTTGGAATAACAGCACAGAACACATTTATGTCTTCTGCTCAGGTTAATGTTTTAAAAGCTTTAGCTGACATTGGGCCTAGCTTCTAAAGAAACTATCGCAGTATAATCTTTCTGGGTTTCTATAGAAAAACTCCCAAGTGAAACACTCTCTGTCTTTATACTACAGATTCAGTAGGTCTATGAACTAAAAGTAGGTTCTCCGGAGTGTCCCTCCCAGCAGTATAGCAACTTGCATAACTCATCTCTGGAGACAAAGCAGAGAAAGCTTTGATAACCGCACAAAAGAAGACTTTGATATCTATATCATTTCAATTGTCTGCTTAATTCAGAGTGAAGTCAGCAGAAGCCTCTTCACTTTATCCTTGGAGAGGTTCCCGAAGCCTGCACTGTTCCTCTTCTGTAATGTTTTAATGCAGCATTATGTAATCAATGCGTGACCTGCTCTTCACCCGGCAGCCAGTGTTCTTTTTATAAACTTTCTGCAGTCTCCTCAACCCAGTCCTACCTCATCTTTTTTTTCCTTGGTGTGATAAAGGCAGAAATATTCAGTCACTCCAGCTACAAAGAAACTCCACTGTAATCCATTTGCCTGGAAACCTGAATATAAATAAACACATTTTCAAATTTATAATCACTTTTATTGTCACATTATGCTTATATGGGTGTGAAAGTGAGTGAAAATATTGGGTGCATAGCTCTTCGATGCAGTGTTAGATACAAAAAATATCCACATTATCATACACATTGCAGACAGTAACATGCAACATGTACAAGCTATACACAGACGCATTATCATACATAAATACACACTGTATACAATATACACTATAATACACAGTACACATAACCTAACCAGATAATCTAATTGCATTCTTTCGCAGTATGGAAAAGTATGGAAATTGATTTTAGTAATTTCCAGGTCTGGATAAGTATGGAAAAAGAAAAGTGAATATGGAAAAAGACTACTGCCTCTACTCTGTTTTTAAAAATATAAAATTCAGAATTTTTTAAAATAAATTGCTCATACAAGCAGAGTGTTTTTCAGGCAGCCAGCGCAGCCAAATTTTTACGTGTGAGTGAGCGCGGGTCAGAGCTTGACGTTGTCGAAAGCAAGGCAAGAAGTATGGCGTGCGACTCAACACACACTCCTACGCAGAGCTGCCTCCACACCTCTACGTCACAGCCTGCAAAACGGCTCTGCCCCATGTGACTTACAACTGTACCAAATCCAAACACTCACGTGTATGGAGTAACACAAATTAGCTCTTGTATCTTTTTAATTGCATATACACATAGCATTGCAAATAACCAAATATTAAGCTTGTCTCAACATTAATGAGTAATGCAGCGAAGCAGTTATCAGAAAAATAAACGGACTCTCTTTTTTGCATAAGGAAACCATATGGCTGCATTCATCGTTGTTTCCATGGACACAGTGAATAAACAAGGCTGCACAGAATCAGTGAAATTCTGATTATTTAACTGTTTTCAATTCGTTTTTGGTTCTTATTTATAAAAGAGACTAAAATGTTGGGGGGAACAATAACATAATATTATTTATACAATTTGTTAAAGTAAAATAATGCAAGTATAAATTAGTAGCACCAGTTAGTTTCCTGCATCTTTGGGCAGATGTTTGACAGCGCAATGTTGTCCACCTTTCTGCAGAGAAGTGTGGACTGAATGACCACAGTGGGTAAATGCAAGTTTTTTGAGGGCTGGAAAAGATCTGAAAGATCTACTAAGAAGTCTACGGAAAAGTACGGAATTTTAAAATGTTTAGGAAACCTAATTTGTGAACGCAGTATTTTAAGTTTGTTCTGTAACTCTTTAACTCATGTAAGTTAATGTGAAATAGCCTCTCAGTGGGCAGCATTGTTTTATTTACTGCAGTTAATAAAAAAAAACACAAAATATGACTGCAAACTGTTGACACTGATCATTGGTCATGTCCATATTAGCAGCTCTGGGTCTAATAACAAAAATGGGTGGTGTTTTCAGAAATCGCTGATATTGTGCCCTGTGGTAGACAAAAATATTCCAAAGCTGCTGCATTTTTCCTATATGGATGTTTTTCCTCTGAACTTAATGATAAATGACTCTTTCAACATGCAACTAAAACTGCTCCACACTAAAATGATGATGTAAAACTGGCAAAGTCAACAAAATACACCACGCAAGCTGTGTGAAATGTGGTAATTTGGTTATTTTAGCAGTTTTAGCCTACAGATTGAGTAAGCTTAATAACAGACTTGCATTCATGCTGTGTCATTTCAGAGTGCAAGAGTGTTTGCTTGCTTGTAGCATGTATGTAGCATTATTCCTATTTTGGATGCTAAACGATCTTGTGCTTCAGAGAATCCAGTGACAATGTACGTAGGACACAATATACCAGGTTTGGAATGTTTAAGACTTTATTAAAAATAGATTTAAAAAATTAGATGAAGTGAAGTGAGGTCATTGAGGTCATTGGTGATGCTGGCAGATTTTGCTAAAAATGTTCTTAGTTTACGTGAACTTCTTACTATCCATGTTTCTGCATCTTCAATATTACTCTAAATTCAGCAATAGAAGGTTTTGTGGATTTGTGAAATTGGACCTGGGCTAACAGCTGAAGTTGTTGCTTCAGTGTACTCTGATACTCTGAGCTGTAGTCTGAGCTCTACACAGACTTCCTGGATCGTTGCTCTCGAGTTGCCCCAACCACCTGTTCTGTCAGACCTTCAGGGCCTCTAACTGGAGAGATCAGCTCGAACACTGATGTCACTTTGACTTAGCACCATGAATCTTTTATCTGAGGTTAGGTGTACATACGTGGAAACCTTGTGTTTTGGAGAGGACAGTTCTCTAGGTCAGGGACTAAGGTGTGTAATTTAAAAAAAGGCATATTTTCAACTCTGTTGATTTCCCTCCATGTTCTAAATCATCCTGAGTTGCCCTTAGCGGATATGCCACGAAACACCTTCTTATGTTTTGTTTAATTATTTGTCAATCGTAGGTCATTGAAGCAGAGAAATTGTGTGGAAAGTGCATTGTAAACTTTCAAATCATACCACATTTGTGTTTTAAGGAGAGGAGGAGATATGTACAGTCTTGTTTTGTGGACAGTAGACCATGTTTTTGTCATTTCTTGACGTTGAAACATGCGGAAAAATAGACACAGCGTCAAAACAGCTTATACAGAATGCAAATTGAATGTGAATATTACTCAGTGCATAACCAAATATGTAAATACTGATGTAATTACATGTATATTGCAGTGCAGTGGCAGTAATAATTTTGGAGGATTAAGGACTCGTACAAGGAGGCTTAATTAAGCATGCATCAGAAGATGTATGGTATGAACTTACAGTGAAAGGTGGTTACAATTAACAGCTTCTTTTTGAGAGATGCTAATGTAGATGCTCATTTAAATAATAGCATCATGTGTTGTAGGTCCATTTCATATGGTCACTTGAACCAGTATAATTACTTGAAGTGAGGTCAAGGAAGGGGTCAGTGACATATCGGCTTTCTTTTCTTTACTTAATTGGTGACTCCCCAGGCTTGCTGAGCTGCTGTCAACTGAATTTTGTACACCCCTGTGCACAGAGGTCTCAAACAGCTGTACAGTAGCTGGAAGCACAGCTTGTGTTCACTCCATTGAAAATCGCCACTAATTGGTAGAATTGCTTTCTGCAAGTTGAAGCAGCGGTAGTAATTTTGATGCACCCGTACAATAGTGCTAATTGTTTTGTGCTGGACTACACTGAGTTAGAAATGCTGAATAAAATGTGAGCGTTGGTCTTTGTCCAATTGACTGTACCCACATTATTTATCCCACATTGCAGCTGGCACCAGTAAAAAGGATTTAAATGGACTTGAAGTTCTGTACTTAAGCTAATGGAGTGTAATGATTGCACAGGCAAAAAATAATTATTTGCTAGAAATAGCTAGCACTGGCTGCCAATGACAAAGCATGCAAGTGTATGATTTTAGGAGATGGTGGTTATTTCATACGACCAGATTCTGTCGGGGGCTCTTTTCACACTACCCCTGTGTTGAGGTGAAATATCTCCCCATGTAGCCTGGAAATTTATCAGGTGTTTTGGGCAGAGTTGCATGTCCGGCTGCAGCAGCACCATGTGGCCCAAGGCGCTCGCCAAAACTTCTGAGATGCCTTAGGCTACGCTTTCCTCGTCTATTCCCTCGTCCAAACAGAGGCTGTCACTTTGAGTACTGGTAAAGGGGTGAAATCAAAGAGGTGCCATGACAATGACCTTATTGGGGATGTGGAAGGAGGGGACCGGTGGGGGCCCCCGCAGCTTAGACGGAGTTGGAATGGGAGCCCCGTGTAGCGCGGCGCTGGAAAGAGGAAGTAACTCTGCCAGCTCTCGCTCTGCCATATGCCAAGACTCGCAGGAGCGTGTGCTGACCGGGGAGAGGACAGCCGTTCGGCCGGCCATTGTGTGCCAGCCACTGTCCTCGGGGTGTCTCGAAGCCTGCATCAAATTAGGCAACCACACCCTCCTATGCTACCCAGAGTGACTCTGGTGGTCAGAGTGGAACACACAAGGACAGACTGCATGTCTGTTAAATTACAGAACTTAAGTGTGGTATAAAGGTGCAGACTCCTGCCCTTGAAACTTGAAGCCGAAAATCTAATCTGCACAGTTTTCCCCTTATCACAAATGTAGAGTCAGCCAAGACATACTGTTACCTATGAAACAGAAAGAAGTAAAAGACAAAATTAAAGCTTTAAAAGGTTCATTTGTTTTTGGTCCGTTTTTTTAAAGAATACATTCAGGATGCGTTCATAAAGTATCAGAAACCTCATAGGTTTTGAGATCACACTATGTTGAAATTGACTTTCCGTTACTGATGTATGTGTATGCAAATAAGTCAAATTAACTGACACTTTTTATGTTTGTATATAGTTGCATGAAAAATGTATTTTGATCATTGTCTTAGTGAAAATAAGCTGTCGCATCATCTACAGAGAACAAACTTAAATGTAACTGCTAATTTCAGATCACAAAAAAAATGAAGCATAAAATCTAAAATGTGCCACTTTTGCACAGCCCACATTTTATGTTGTATTTTGTTTTCCAATATGATAAATTCAGGAAATGAACAGTAATTGTTTATTAAAATGTGCAGAAGTGCGTTCTCTGTAGAGGTTGTGTTCAATTATTTTCAGTGGCGCCCAAACATGCATACGACTGTATTTCTGTCATTGCTGATGTCTGAGTTGACTTGAGTAACCTGTCATGAATATTGTTTGCCGTTTTTGTGTCTAATCTCTACCGTTATGTGTTCTGGTTATTTCAGCCTCCAGATAAAGAAGGAGGTCTCCCCAAGCAGGTGGGCAACAAGACAGAATGTGGCCTATTAGGACTGGTCCTTGACCTCAAGCGGGACTACCAGTCTATTCGGAACCAGATCCCAGAAGAGAAGCTTTATAAGGTGTACACATTCAACTCAGTCAGGAAGTCTATGAGCACTGTAATTAAACTTCCAGATGGCAGCTTCAGGATGTACAGCAAAGGAGCCTCCGAGATTGTTCTCAAGAAGTGAGCGTCTTTTGGTCTTGCTGTCCTTATTTTGCTTTTATTTAGCTTGTTATATTTAGTCCGAATTTGATGATGACATTTTAAGATCATGTCAGAGGATTGTATTTTATATATATATATATATATATATATATATACACTCAAGATTGGTGGAAGTGATAATTATGAGATTTTGCGTTATAAGTGATTTGGAATGTTAGTTTTCGGACACTGACCTCAATGACCTTGGTCCAGGTGTACGCGCATCCTGAACGAAGTGGGTGAGCCCCGAGTTTTCCGGCCCCGGGACAGGGATGAGATGGTGAAGAAGGTGATTGAGCCCATGGCCTGCGATGGACTTCGGACAATTTGTGTGGCTTTCCGTGAATTCCCTGCAGACCCTGAGCCAAACTGGGATGACGAAAACAACATTGTGTCAGACCTGACGGCAATCTGTGTGGTTGGGATAGAAGATCCAGTCAGAGCTGAGGTACGGAGTTTACCATTTGGAGCTTTTTTGGGGCGGGTTGGTCAACTGATGAAGCCTGTGTCTCATTTACAGTGTTGGGTGAAAACTTTTAGTATTGGAAATCTATATACGTTACACTGCATACTGCATGTTTATGTCTGCATTTAATGTCTGTGTGTGCAGTAAGTGTCACTAAAGATATTTGTCTTGAGAGTTTTACTCTTCAGTGACATGGATACACCCCTCTGAGCTGCTTTGACATAATAATTGGATGAGAGAAATGGAGGATACTGCATCAGATGTAACACACTATTCTTGCCACAATTTTGAACGTCTGTCCTCAATGTGTACTTTCTCTGCTCCCACAAAGCGCCAAAAAACACTGACTCCGCCACTGCATTATTTAGCCGTGTGCTTTTATCTCTCCCTGTTTCTTCGCTCTTGCTATCTCTCCCCTCGTCTCTAGAGCCATACTGTGTAATTGTCGGTTTGCTGAAGACCTCTTAAAGAAGGCAACACTGGCAATGAAACGGAATTACAAGGAAGTGCAAAGCAGAACATTCGTGTTTTATTCTGTGACTTTGAAATGAACATGCAGTTTGCAAGACCTTTTGAACTGGCCTTTAAGCCATTTTGCAGTTCTGTGATCAATCTAATAGATACCTTATCATGTAGACAGTGAAATCATTTTTGTAAATAATATATATTTAAAATGTGTCTTGCAATTGGGCACCAAAAGGCTTGACAAGGGTTCCCCATTAAAATGCGATTATAGCAGAGATTACTTTCAAAAATAATATGAAATGAATGTGATGATCTTATATGGATGATTTGTTTGATCTGTTGATCAAAGAATCTGTTTAATATGAGTTCTAGTAGTTGAAATAACTGCTGTGTTTCCATTTAAGCCGCTTGCTTGAACTAGTATTGCAAAACTCTTTCAGATGTATTGCTTCCTGGCGTCAGGCTCAACTCACCCCTGTTCGCTAATAAATCAGTAGACACCTGAGAATCCGTAAACAAATCCATTTGAGTTAATCGTCTAACGTTACCAGTCACCTTCCTCTGCCACTGTCCATTATTAATGAAGCTCTTCCTCTTCAGTCTGTCCTCAATGAGTTAAGTGAAACTCGACTGTTGTTTCCGAAGCCCCCCAAATGGCTTGACGTCTGCCCAACATGATAACATCTCTGGTCCCGTTTAAATGTCTAGACCGTTCCCCGTTTTCATTCCATCTTCTTTCGCCATGCTAATTGGATGTGGCCTAATGAATATTACATATTCTCTTGCCTCTGTTAAAAAGAACTGTCTAAAAAGGAAATATTTTTTGTGTCACCAATCCAGTGTCTTCATTTATCCTTGGCAAACGTGTTAATCATAAAACCAGGGTGATTCAGCTCTGATGGTATGAAGTTTGGTACCCATGTGAAAGGGACATTCCACACCTCATATGCACCATGGAAATTGAAAAAACTGAAAAAAAAGTGCTACATTCACTTTTGCTTGATTCACTGGGTTCAAGTGTGTACATAGTTTCCAAATCATCAGCACAGTTTTGTCAATAATTGTGTTTATGTGATATAATTTTTTCATGTGGAAGTTATGTACATACTTGAATTAAGTAAATTCATTGACTTTTTACAGTGCTGCTATATTTAGCTTCTAATTACTAATAAAGCACTTACCAGGAATTGTTGGTAGAAAGCCGCAGTGAAAGGCTTGCAAAAAGTGAGTTGTCACACCCCCGTCACTGCCAGCCTGCTGACCACAAGCACTTATTTACAGTTATCGTTCCATTCCATTTTGTTCTCTTGTTGCAAAATCTTGCCAATGTTTTCTTCTTTGTATACCAAACCTTGTTATCTGTTATTACCTCATTCTGTGTTACGGTCTCTCTGGTTTTTGCTGCAGTTATGATTCTTTTTTATGTCTTTTTGTTCATGATTGACCTTGCTTTGTTGAAATGAGTATGGATTGTGTACACTAATTTTAGATTCAGTAGAGTGTCCTGCACATGCATGCTGGATTTGTGTTTAGATTTGGAGTCTTGAGTACAGCAAATGTGAGGAACCACATCATTATGCCATTATGACAGACGTATATGCATCATGACAGACGTATATGCATCATGTGTCTTTATTCAACAGGAACATCATTTTGAATTGTTATTAGCACTGGTACTGATGATGTATTGTCTTACTTACACTCGGACTCTCTCCTAAGGAGCCCACTAACCAATTTTAGTGTACTGTGAGCATCCTGACCACTCACAGTTCTAGTTGAGTTTCTGAGGGTGTTTCGATGAATGTATTTTAACTGTATCAGGCAGCCCTAATACAGTAGACATAATTCATCCATGTATTGTGCGTAACTAAACTATGAGAGCGAGAGGGAGAGAGAAAGAAGGACACATTAAGGTAAAGGGAGGGTAGAAAGGGCTTGCTGTGTTCTGTATGCCTGCGCACTGCGGTGGTGTACTCATTTACCGCAGCACCGGACTCCTCTGACCTGCAAGCGCAGGCGTAGGCTTGCGGTTTGTGGAGGCACTCGCAGTGACCTTTTCCTCAGAAGGTAGAGGCTTAAAGCACTGAATTAGGGCCTGTTAGCTGGCAGTAGTTCTCCAACTGGGGATGCCCTGATCTGATCTGAAAGACTGATATGCGTAACAATCAATGGAAATTTTAATGGATCCATATCAGCTTTATTACATAGTTCTACAGCATAAAAAATCCAGCATTGTGTCCTGCAGGTGCCTGAAGCCATCCGTAAGTGTCAGCGTGCCGGAATCACAGTGCGTATGGTAACTGGAGACAACATCAACACAGCACGGGCCATTGCCATCAAGTGTGGCATTATCCATCCCGGAGAGGACTTCCTGTGCATTGACGGCAAAGAGTTTAACAGGAGGATCAGGAACGAGAAGGGAGAGGTATTGCACATTCACTGATTCACAGGTCGCTAGAGACCGGAAATATGCATATAAACGTTAAGACTTACCCTGGCTAGAAAATAGAAACACTTTGCAAGCGCATGACTATGCTTAATAGTCTATAAAACTGGACGCTTGAATCTTATTACTGTGTCCACTACTGGAAGTCCTCCATTTCCTGTATAGATACACTCTTCTGTTTATGTCTAGTATGCTGATAAAGCAACTTTGGAGAAAGTTTGCTGAATGTTACTGTCGCTAATCAGATCATTTGATCGTTGATCAATAATTAGCCAGCGAATAATCACAGTATAAGAAGTCACTCTAGCCCAGCTCACTTTTGTAGCACCCTCTGACCCGTATTATGCTAACTACACTAACTCATGCATGTGTACGACCTTGTGTATCTAATCCTGTGATGATTGCTTTATGTACTGAGTTATGCAGGTTTATGGCTCCTTAGCATTAGTGTTGATGAAAACTGCCGTTATGACTGATGACTCTCAACAGAGTTTACATGTTGTCTGTAGATTGAACAGGAGCGCATTGATAAAGTGTGGCCCAAACTCCGAGTTTTGGCCAGATCCTCTCCAACGGACAAGCACACACTCGTTAAAGGTGCGGCCTTGGGCCTCTGTTTCTTACATTGAAATTACACTGTCCTATGATACTAATATACATACTACATATCCATTTCTTACTTCTTACTTTTTCCTTACATTAAGACGTGTTACATAAGTCTACCAAAGATGCCACAGAGCTGTTCTGAAGCGTTAATAATGACCTTCGCTGTGATAATCCTGTCACAGGTATCATTGACAGCACCCTGGTGGATCAGAGGCAGGTGGTGGCTGTGACTGGCGACGGGACCAATGATGGACCTGCGTTGAAGAAAGCAGACGTCGGCTTTGCCATGGTGTGTGCTGCTGTGCCTCTAAACTCCGCTAAAAGCAGTCGTCTTGGATTCTCAGCTTTTTATCTATAAGCAGAAAAGCAGGCCATGATGTTGTAATTCCATCCTCCAAGTCTGTGCCTGTTCCTCCCCAATTCAGGCTGTCCTCATTTCCCAGCTAGCGTCATTCTGACACACACCATCACGCCATCTCCTGCAGACTCAAAAAGCACAGGAGTGCCCCCTAGTGTAGGCTTTGGGAATTGTGCTCACCTCAGATGACCACGGCATAAATTTCGTCCTTTACTGTCCTTGTGCTGATTTTGGTCAGGTTTGCGTTTTGGCATTTGTGGTGCCCCACCATCCACATTTTTTTTTGTTAAATAATAGTCTTTTACCTTTTCAGCAGAAGAAATATTGCTTTGGTCAGCACTCTCTTCAAATTTCACCCCCTCCAACCCTAGGCTTAGGAAAGCATGAGAGGGATGCTGCCTGCAGGCTGCTTTTTCTCTGTGTTTTTCCTACAGCACTTTCCACTGTCAGACATCTTTGGGGAGAGCAAGCCCCCAGGCTAGTCTTTGAAAAACATAAACACGTTATGGGCATAGAGAGCAGCAACAATGAAAGGGTTCACTCAGACACTGCTGTCTTTACATAGATGCTACTTGGTTGTGTACTTTTCTTTTAGATTTACTCTCAGTGCATTGGCTTTTTTCTTGTTCATGTTTTGTCATTTCTTTCTTGCCCATAACACTTTTATTTTTTTCTCTGTCCTCTGCTTTTGTTGTGGATGCCTAAATCTAACCGTAGATGGCTTGTTGGTGAAATAACAAAGCTCCTCTCTTTGACAGGGAATCGCAGGTACAGATGTGGCCAAAGAGGCGTCAGACATCATCCTGACAGACGATAACTTTACCAGTATTGTGAAAGCCGTGATGTGGGGACGCAACGTCTATGACAGCATCTCTAAGTTCCTGCAGTTCCAGCTGACTGTCAACGTAGTGGCTGTGATTGTGGCATTCACAGGGGCCTGCATTACGCAGGTTAGAGTCAGCTCTCTACTGAATGCAGCAATATCCCAGTGTTTACCTAGGCCCATTGTACTCGTAAGGCCAGTTTCCCTGACCCAGATGTGTATTTTCAATGCTGAATCACCGTTGGCATTTGCAGTTTAGTCCTTACTTAGACTTAATCCATGTATTGCAAACCAGCTGACAATGTGTTGAACATCTTTGCATAGCATTCATTCCATGTTACCTCTTATCTGTACTTGAGCGATCGAAGGACAGGTTTGCCTCTGAAACCTAGCCTCAGAAAGAGTCTATAATATATTGCTGGGCCAAGGCTGATGACCCAATTCTGCTTCTCTAAAACAACTTTGTTTCATTTCCTTGTGGAACACTGGCCTAATAAAAAGTTGATGCTCCTCATGAAAGCAGGTTAGCTCCTTGAAAAAGCTGCTGCCATTCAGTGAGGTTTAGCTGTTGTCATAAACAGAAAGAGACACAAACATTCCAGTAGAACATACTGCCTGGACACAACACTGAGATATATGTAACATTCTGATTTAGGGGAGAAAACAGCAAATTGAAAATACAAGTTTTAAAAGACATATACTTCAAAAGTACAAGTCAAGTTTTGACAGAATACAGCCAATTTTAACTTTTGTGCTTGTAGCTTCGTTAGCAAGAGACATTGAAAAGAGGACAATACAACTCCCCATCCTAGTGCTTGCTCTGTTCGGTGCTCCTTTGATTCTCTAGTCTCAAACACCTGATTCAGCTCATTGACTCATTTCCAAGCGCTTCATGAAATGAATTAGGTTATGTTCACACTGCAGACAATTTCAATTTGTTTTTCATATCTGATCTATTTTCAGGTAGTGTGTCTATCGTTTGTTGTAGCTATATTGGCTAATGTTGCAATGATGTAAGTGTGTGCACAGTGCACATTATTGTGTTCATGCAGCTTTCATTAAATGAAAAAATATATTTTTTTCTGTTGTTCAGAAAATTCCATCAGAAGCAACTTAGAATCGGGCCGTCTGTGTAAACACAGCCTTAGAGCAGGGAAAATACAGATTTTTGTATATGCTATAAAATGATGTTCCTGACCACTTTCTAAATAGCGGTGTAAGTGTGATAGTGTTGGAAATAAAGTGTAAAGGTTAGATACTACTTTATTATGTTTTCAGTATGTTTCTCATGTTAATGGACATTACTAGAAACGACAATCGCATTAGTTCATAAATCACAATATCTCAGCCACACTGCTGAGATATTGTTGTAGCTGTATCTCATTTAACTAGATTTGCCTTGTTTTTACAGGATTCACCCTTGAAAGCTGTTCAGATGCTGTGGGTCAACCTGATCATGGACACGTTTGCCTCTTTGGCCCTGGCTACGGAGCCACCCACTGAATCCCTGCTCATGAGGAAACCTTATGGCCGCAACAAGCCCCTCATCTCTAGCACCATGGCAAAAAACATTCTTGGCCATGGCATTTACCAGCTCATTATCATTTTCACTTTGCTGTTTGTTGGTATGCGATTCCTATACTAAACTTCTTTTTTTAAGCCTTTTATTCTTTGGGCTTGTTTATTCTTGGATAAATCTACACGATGATATATAGATGATGCCTGTCATTTGTCTTTTGGCAAGAAATGAAAATGTCTTTATTTTAAGACATGGGATAATAATCTTACAGTGTAATGATAGAGATCTGGAGGACATTAGATGTTTTCAAGGGTGTCTCAGTACCTTCTTCCTTCTTCTTATTGTATTAAAATATTGTGATTATGTCTAGGCTACTGATCATCATTCTGGTGTTTTTGTGCAGGTGAACAGATCTTTGACATAGATAGTGGCAGGAATGCCCCACTGCACTCGCCTCCATCTGAACATTACACCATCATTTTCAACACCTTTGTCATGATGCAACTCTTCAATGAGATCAACGCTCGCAAGATTCACGGAGAGAGGAATGTGTTTGACGGCATCTTCAGAAATCCCATCTTCTGCTCTATTGTTCTGGGGACATTTGCTATTCAGGTAGTAGCAAGTTCAGCTCCAACAGACACAAATACAGCTTATGTATGCATAGCATTTTTCTTTAATCAGGCTTTCATTAAGGTTGCTTAGTTCTTTATGAGTTGCCTACATGGCAGTTGCAGTCTTACATTTCTTTAACAAAGGTTATGAATCAGGGGCCGTAATACAGAAACTTATTAAGTATGAAATCTTATCTTTAGTCACCATGACAGCCTGAATTTAGGAAAGAAACTATGACAGAACAACAGTTCCTAGGTTCATAATCTTATCCTCGGCTAAAGCTTTTGGGAAATGGAAACTGAAAGTGGAGAGCGTTGACGCTCTGATAAACAGCAGGGGGCGCTCTCACAATATTCTTAACAAAGTTAATCACATTTTAGTTTTCTTTGACCTTTTTTATATCAGTAAGGGTATCTAACGTTAGCTGTCTAGCTAACTAAATTGATTATTTTAAATATGTGTTTACACTTCCGCTGTGCCCATATGGTCGGTTACTAGGTAACAGACATGACAGTTGACTGTTGACTTCGATCGAGTAGGTTAAGATTTCCTAATTTGAGATAAGATTTGCTTCTGTATTACAAATTTGTGAAAAAAACCTTATCTTGACCTGTCAGATCTCAACTAAAAAGAAAGTTTCTGTAATACAGCTATATTTGCTGTAATGGTATTATGATGATGGTTTGAAGCATCTTAAGGGAATAGTTTAGCTAGCAATGCTAAAACTGCTAACAATTAATGTATAGTCCAGGCGACAAGTGTGGCTTGACAAAAAATGACGTAAAAGACAAAATTTGTGTGTTGCAGACCTTGTCACATACATAAAAAATTGTTGTCGCACACTTTGATTGGATAGAACCCCAAAGTTCTACGTTCTGGAGTGTTGCCATGGTCACAGTGTTTGGCTGTGTACTTTCTTGCTGTTTCACTGCTTTTAGAAACAGAACGGGTTGCCAGCTACTCAGAACTGGGATCCATATACATTTATAAGAAGACTCATTTTTTATTTTCAGTTTGTTTAGAATAGTGTCCAAGCAGAAAATGCATCCCATAGCAGTGTAATTCCCCCCTACACTGCACTTTCAGACTAACTGGAATTTTTGGCAAAACTGCGAACCTGGCAACCTTGCATGATGGGGAAAGAACTTGTGAGTGAACACAATTAGTATTTCTGGTTGCTGTAGCGACGTTGAAGGTTTCAAACCCCCACTGTTAATGCAGTTTCAGTGTAGTAGATGTTTTCAGACTGTTCTTTGCAGTTTCACTACTGTGTCATTAGCTGTGTTGTTATACAAGTCTAGAAACTACAGATGATGTTCTATTCTGACGTTTTATGGGACTGTGAAACCCTACAGCGCTGCGACATCTGTCGACCACAGTATTTTGAGCGACACTTGTCACCTGGACTATAAATTGACCTTTAGTATGCTTGGTATGACATTAGTATGCTTGGTCATACTGCTGCTTTAAAATTCACTAGAACACAAGTGTATGTAAGTCATAAGCCGAGTAGACTGAGATTTTTTTCATTTCAATGTTTTAGATTGTGATTGTGCAGTTTGGAGGGAAACCATTCAGTTGCTCTCCTCTTGACTTGGAAAAGTGGATGTGGTGTGTGTTCCTCGGGCTAGGAGAACTGGTCTGGGGACAGGTAACTTACCACGCACATCACAGCAGCACCATTTGAATCAGGGATCTAAAGAAATCCAGACTGAACTCTTTGAAAATGACCAGTTGACCAAAATTCAATTCCTCACTGTGACGTAGGTGATATCGACGGTTCCGAACAGCAAGCTGAGGTTCCTAAAAGGGGCAGGTCAGTTAACGCAAAAGGATGACATGCCTGAGGAGGAGCTAAACGAGGACCAAGAGGAGATCGACCATGCTGAGCGTGAACTGCGGCGAGGCCAGATCCTCTGGTTCCGCGGCCTCAGTAGAATCCAGACTCAGGTAAGAGGCATGGCCAGAAGATCTGTTGAAATCATGGATGGCCTGCATGAATGTGCAAGATTTTTTTGTACTTAGTAGCATTTCTTACGTTTAATTAAGTCTTTGTTGGAGCTTAATTTAACTTTGCATGATGTAAACTGGATGCAGATGAACATTGTAAGGCTTAATTCAACACTGGTGATTTTACTATAATAGTAAGTACTCTCTCAGTTGCCTGGCAACTGTTACAGCTTGCTAGTTTAATATGCGCTGTCAAACTGCATGTGTGGTCAAGTAAAACCAAGTAACATTGTATGTAATTGTAATGGTATACTTTAGAATGGATATACCGAGAACTATACCAAGAACTCTTATAGAATAAATGTGTGTATATATATGTATAATATATATAAAACCTAAATGCAAAGTTAGGAAATACAGTCATTTAAAATGGCATGCAAAAGTACTCAAAATGGATTTTTGAGAAGATTGCACATTTGCATGATCTTGACTGTTCATTTAGTTTTGCTTTTTGATAATTCCTTATGTTAGCAATGCTTCATAATACAGTCCTGTAGTGAGGTTTACATCCAGATGACCGCTAATGAAGACCATTGGACAGACACTCTTCTATCACCATCATGCTGACTGATTAAGCTGGAGGGAAAAAAAACATCAGAGCTTCAAGCCTTCTTAATTTACGACAATGGCCTGTAGCTTCTAACCCTTCTCATGCTTCTTTGTGTGAGAAGGCAGTCCCATCCATGCCGTGTCATTTCCACATCAAATTCTCATCCCCTTGACTTGGAATGTCACCTTAACCGAATGTGGTATGCTATATGTATTGTCTTTACCCTTCTTGCAGATCGAGGTTGTGAACACATTCAAGAGCGGGACTTCCTTTCAGGGGGCACTGAGGCGCCAGTCCTCCACCACCAGCCAGAATCAGGATGTAACCAATGTTTCTAGTCCTAGTCACATGTCCTTGTCCAATACCCTTTCCTCTCCTACCAGCACTGCTGCTGTTCCTGCTGGGCGTGAGTGAGAACTTTCTGTGTGCTGCTTGTCAAGGATGCCCTCTCAGAATACGACTTCATTGATTGCATCCTGCGGAATAAACAAATAAAGCAGATATAAAAATAAGAATGAAACATACAGTCCATGTCCATTTCTAAAAATACAGTAATTCACTTTCTTGTCTCATTTTATTTTACCAAAAGTTTTCCGCAATTTTTATAGTCATGAACTTTATTTGGGATGCGTACTTATAAAGTTACGCAATAAATGGCATTTACATTCGATTCTGTGTATTGACATATTTGATTCTGCATTTGTAGTGATTACTTTTTGTTTTAATGACAAAAGAGACAAATACGTTATCTTTTCATCAAAATCAAATTATAATGAAATATCTCTTCCTCTACAGGTTCTAAATGTGAAAGTTAGAATCTGCATTTTCACCCAAAATATAAAGAGCTAAAGAGTGAGAATTAATTCCTATCAATCTAAAGCAGGATTTTGTTACTGCTGGCGAAAAATGCAGCTTCTACGAGTTAAATGGTACTCATTTCTAACAATGCAGAATAGCTATACCTTTTGAAAAGAAACCCTTAATATTCCCTTCATCACAGTTTGAAGAGGTGATATTTGTAACTGTGGTATGTAGTAGCCAGTAATACAAACAACTTCCATTATTACTAGAGGGCAACTTTGACCGCATTTTCTGCTTCTTGCTATTTTCTGATGGTCTGCTCTTGCTCTTTTTGCAACTGTTTATCAATTAATCGTTTCCCTTTCCTCGAAGGAACTGTTGTCTCAATGTCCCATGTGTTTGTCTCCCTCAGAGTGCTAAGAGCCCTGGAGTAAGGGTGCAGCCTACGGAGTGAATTTCAGGTTGTGAGTCCCTCCACTGTCCGTCGCAAAAAAGTTGATGTGAACTAATATTCCACAAACAAAACTCACCAGGCTGGGTAAACATTCAAGTATAAGCCATCGGTACCATCTCCCGCTGAGCCAGACGTATTTGCCGAAAACGTTTTGGCTGCAGTTGTTGACGTTACGTCTAATTTGTCTTTTTTATTTTAAATATTATGACTTCTCTCTGCACAGCGATGAAGACGTGTGAAGAGAATGGCGGTTCCTCCTCATAGTCTCGTCCTATCTGTCGTCTGTGTGGTTGTAGAGCCAAGCCCCCAGGAGGCCCACAGCGACCCATTCTTGTCTTGTGGCTTCACGCTGTTGGTCATGTAGTTCACTCTGTGCTGACTGGAGCAGAGTCTCGCTGAGCATTAGGCCAGTTCCCATCGATGTGATTCGTCCTGACATTTGTTCTCATCTGTCATTCAGACCAGTCCAACTTTTTTGCCTTTGTGTTTGGCGTGATTGCCCCTTCTTAGCTGATAGGAGTGGAAGGAGAAGTCAAATTTGATCATATGGATAAATATGCACTAAATATGTTTTACTGTAATCGATATAGTTAAGAGTATCTCAGATACTTTACTGTTAAATTATTAAATTAAGCTAATGACTATTTCCTTGATTTATGTTTATTAAGATGACCATATATTTTTGGAAAAAGGAGGACAGATGCTTTCTTTATTTAATAGCCTCAGGAGCAGTCATTATAATATTAATTTTGTATACTTCTACATATACATTTTAGTTTTCTGCTGAACTTTTAGTTTAGTCATTTTTTTGGCTGTACTTCTGCCTTTGGTGAAAGCAAACATAACCGTGAACTTTGTGGCCTATACTTGAGTGTTTACACAGGGACGCATGGAGTTACTGAAAGAACAGACTCTACGTCTGTTCCTGGTTTTTCTCATTCTGCAGTATGTGTGTGCCTGTGTTCATTTGAAACGTCTTCACATTGGTGTTGTCCCGAGCTGCATGTTTTGTCGTGTTGTCTGACTGACTTTTTAAGCTTTGGTCTGCCACCATCGTGTTGTGACCCTATGCTTCATGAAGCATAGGCCTCATTACCCCACATCTTCTCGTCCCAGCCATCTCACCGTATCCTGTGCTTGTATTGACTCTTTGTGGACTTTTTTTCCTGTTTGGTTTTGTATCCTCAAAAACTCATCCTGGATCTGAACTCTTTTCCTCTTACCTGTTTACCACAAAAAGTTTTCAACTTGCATGTTTAATTTTTTTTCATTGCAAATTAACATGAATTGTCTCTAGGTATACAACATACTGGATCTTACTGTATACTGTATACTGTGCCGTTAAAAGAAAATGACATTTGCCTGTGTTTTCTTGGGTGGCCTTTTTTCTTTTTCTTACAGTTCCTTTTTTTACCTTCAGTTTGAGTGAGCTTTATTTTCAAACGTCTCAGTGCACGATAGAGTAGTGAACTGTGAATGCCTCCCGAGTTTCGAAGCTATAGGACTGCTGATAATGGCGGTTCCGTGGCCTCTCTGTCTTTTCCTGTTATCTTTCCCCCGCGCTGACATTTAAAGCGTCTGCACCGGGTAACTTATTTCATCTTGGTCTTATCCTTTCCGCAGATCCGCGTCGTGAATGCGTTCCGTAGCTCGCTCTACGAAGGCTTGGAAAAACCGGAATCCAGAACCTCCATCCACAATTTCATGACTCACCCCGAGTTTAGAATAGAGGACTCCACGCCCCACATCCCTCTCATAGACGATACCGACATCGACGACGAGGCCGCCAGGAAGAACTCCAGTCAGCCCTCGTCGCCCAACAAGAACAACAACGCCATCGACAGCGGCATAAACCTGACTACCGACACGAGTAAATCTGCTGCTTCATCCAGTCCCGGGAGCCCCCTTCATAGTTTGGAGACATCACTCTAGCCCCAGTCGCTCGGGAACATCAAATAAATCACTACGTAAGACAATACATAAAAAGCGCAACAAAATAAGATACAACGCACGTCAAAACAGAACGTGTGCTGCTGACTGAATACGTGGTCGGAACCGCGTTTTTCCTGTTTTTGTTTTTCTTTTCCTCTGCTGATAAGTTCAGGAGAACGAGACTGATTTAGGACGTTTCTGGAGTGACTTGAAAAACAGTATCCAGTTTAAACGGACCACTCCCTTTTTCCTGATAACACGACAACAGACTGCAAGAAGAGTTATTTAAAATCAAATTCAACTATTAAAATTGCTCCTGCATGAATGTACATTACCCGAGTTTTTATTTGGAAAGAATTCTTTTATTTGACTTGATTCGATTTGATTTCGGTGGGAAGTGCCGTGGACTGCTATTTTAAGACAGCTTATCCAATTCACTGATCTCTGAGTATCGTGTGTGGCATGTACCTAACTGTATAGATTTATTTGGTTATCGAATAAAGTGCGGCAAGGTTGCAGGGCTCAACTTGCACAGTAGATTTGCACCTGTTGGAAAGGAGGAACATATGGAAAATAGCATTTATTGAAAATACTATATATATATATATAAATATATAAATATATATATATATATATATATATATATATATATATATATATATATATACACATAAATATATAAATATATACAGAGTTTATCTTTGTTGGCATGTTGCCTTGTTTCTGCTTCAATGACTCTAACTACTTTAACTTATTTATGTCCTAAAGAGAATGTAATTTGTTTACAAAAACCCATAGATAACGTCCTGGTTTCTTTGTAGGGTTCAAAACCATACGGCAGACATAGTTGGAAAGGACTCAAGTTGTTGAGTACTCCTGTAATATTGGACTGTAGGTGTTTTATTACAAACTGTGTGCTGGACTTGCCTGCTATTTTGTCAAATAATGTAGATATTTTTAGAGGATTACAAAAGAAAACCAAAATATAGTGGGATTATATAATTAATGTGGCATCTTAGTAGTATATGATTGATTGTTGGGGATCAACTCTGAACGGCTCCCTTTTTATTTCCAAACTCGATTCTTAAGATGACAGTTTAATGTCTTTACTCGCTCTTTTTTATTTTATTTTATTTTTTTCAATTCAACGCTTGATATGAACTTTTGGTCCGTCTCAAAACATGAGCCTACATTTCAGGTTGGAATATCTTCTTTAGGTACACAGCTTATTTAATGGGAAAGAAAACAATATATATTTTCAATTTTGTGTGACTACGAAGGCTGCAATGAATTTTTACGTTGGACGACATGTAAACTAAGTTATATTCGGCTTCTATGTATGGAAAATCGAAGTTGTGTTGAAAATCTTGTGAAATATTGTGTTGATTCTTCTTCTTCTTCTTTTTTCACTTTTCCATTCTAGATTTGCTTTCTTTTCTTTGAAAGAACGAATCCAGCTCTTCAGCTGTCAGAAACTTTGAACAAGCGAAAAACATAAGGAAACAACAAAAAAAACAAAAAAAAACAAAATGGAATGTTGCTTTTGAGTCTTTTTCTAAAAAAAGATACCTATATGATCATCTTCTGCACTATCCAGATATGAATGAATTTTCTGTGGTGTAAATTTAGATGTGCTTCTGTGTGTTAAAATCAAGCTTGTCTTCCTGCGGCCAGTAAATATACTCTAGCATCTCAAACAGTATTCACTAGTTGTTAACTATTTATTGTGCTATAGAGAGGACAAACTGATGGCTATTTCTGAAGGCACACTTGGAACCAATGTAACAAAGATCCCTGAAATTTTTACGATTACTATTGTAACATTTCCTGCTAATTGGAACCATGGGGAAGCATGCTATCTTATGCTTAATATGCAAGTTGATCTCACTTGTCAACCCTGATTTTCTTTCTTCCTTGTGTTTTCTCAGTTTCTTTCCTCATCATGAGATGGTGCACAAGCTTTAACTGTTAGCTCAGGCATGCGTATAGAAACTCAGCAAAGTTCTATGTCAGAAATCCATCTTTTTTTGTACGGTAGATCCTCCTGCTGAAGTTTTGCCCTTTATTCTTTTGACTCGTTCAGAAGCGAAACGATTCATCTCTAATGTTTCTAACGGTGAATGTGAATGAGAATGATGGGTAGTTTGTATACAATGAGGACTGTAGTGAAGATGCAACTCCATCCTGGCTCGTGTGGACACGGCCTCTCCGCTACTTTTCGCAGTGCGACTGACCTTGTTCGATTTTGTCCCAAAATGACCACAGGTCAAGTCACTCGCCCGGCGGCCTGAGCTATTGGGCCGAAACACGGATGCGGTCAGAAACGTGTACCAATCGGTCGAAACGCCGACAGTTCTCAAGCATTCTAATACTTATGAATAATAATATTTCTTGCAATACATCAGCTTCTATGTACTGTACCTAGCAGCATGCATTTTGTGGAACAAAGAAGAAACACGCCATTGGTACTTTTTGGCGCTCTAGCAATTTATGGGTAAATGATTAAGTGTTCATCCATCTTGTTTTTATGAATTTTTTTAATCTATACAATAATTGTAAATAAAGAATTCAATGTCTTTGTTCATTTAATACTATGCAAAAAGTCATGCTTTCTGATTGTTTATCCACCTACCCTAGAGTGTGTTGCTGGAATGTTTGTGGTTTAAAAAAAAAAAAAGTCAGTAAATAATGTGATGTAAATGATTTTCTAGCCTGACAAACATTATGAACTGTGACTCTTGCTGCTTGACTGTCTGTAACACGACTCCAGACGGGGGCGCAAGTGGAAAAATGAAGGAAAAAAAAAAACAAAAAAAGAAAAGAAACGAAAAGAAAAAAACAGCACTTAATAAATTCCCAGAGCAGCATGAACCAGAATGGTGTCTAATCAAGAGTGTGGAGTCTTGTGTGATGTTTTCATCCGTTACACTGGAACCCTGATAAGCTACAACAGGAATCAAGGAAATGGTCTCATCTTTGTCCTTGGATCTGTTTACCGTATCTGTAATGAGCATGAAGAGGTTTTGGTTTTGACTACAGTACCAAAAGTTTGGATGCACCTGATTAAATATGTGTATTCTATAATCTTAAAGACATTTTGACTGAAAGGTTGACACTTGGGGTACAAGCTTAGATGAAGTAAAGTGGATGTGTATGTAAGAATTTATTTCTAAAACTTCCAAAAAACAACACCAAGTGCTGAGCGAATTCATGAAGCTGATTGTCAAAAGTGTTGTCTAAGGTCCTGTTTACACTTTGCATTATCATCCAATCATTGTGAGCAGATTGTGTTGATTGAATCTTCATCTAATCAAGACATAACAGGTTTACACTTGCTCTTTTCAAAAGTAGATTTTGCGTCCAGGTATTAATGGAATCTCACTTCCCAGCACAATATTTACGGAGCCAGTACAGGCTGTGCAGCGTTTAATGCTTTGTAAAACATTTTGCTATCGTGATACAGAGTGTTCCTGGCATTTTAAGCCACGAAGAAGGAACAGAAGGTGTGTTATGTTCGTTTCGCTTAGTAGCCACGGCCCAAAGAAAAATATGAGTTAATATCATGCATTTTTACATCTAGATTTAAATATACACACAGATGGCTGAAATAATGTTAAATAGGAGAGTGAAAGTTGCGGGTGACGGGCATGTGATGTTAGGCTGAGAATGCCACAGCATGTGCTTGACTACATCAGGATCAGGACAGCTAGATCAGATCACAAGTGTTGTTACACTTGTCTTTTAAATTTGTGTAAAGACAACAGCCAGATATGAATGCATTTTAATGTGAAGTGTAAAAAGGGCTTAAAAGTTTTACAAGATATATGATTGATTTGACACCTTTTTAGATGCGAAGCACCTCATACAATTAGCTTTTGCTCACTCACGTTTAGCAGGCTGAAGATTCTCCACAAGGAGGTGCTCTTAGGACTCAAATAGCTGCTGGTGCTTCATAAGAGCAGAGCTTCGCATAAATGACACTGTGTCCTTGGGCCGAATTCATGAAAGTGTCTTAAGAAGGAAAATCTTAAATGTATGCTTTTCTCTTAACTTCATTCTTAAGAACAAAGTTACGAAAATTTGTTATTATTCAAATAACTTCTTAAGAACTTCTTAACTCATTTCTTAAAAATCATTCAAAGAACAAGTAGTATTCTTGAAAACATGTTCCTAAATGTTTTCTTAACCTCATGACAGACTCACACTCATCTTAGGTTATAAGAGTTGACAAGATTTGATCTAAATCTATTATCAAATATTCATGCTGCATCACCCCGCAGTTATCAAAATTACTAAGGTGGATTTTTTTTTCCTGTTGGCTGTTTCTTCCACCATCACATCTATTTCTTGTTTACTAATTTTTTCAATGCTTGGTTTGATCTTTTTTCTCTATTTTGCTCCTCTGAGCTGATTAAACTAAATAACAGAAAAAAACTTTTTTTTTTTTAAATGTATCTTGTGTTTATGGTAAGCTCTTAAAAGCACCAGAGCCTGTAAAAGAAAACAATGGAGATTGTCTTAAGAGAATATTCGAGAATATAAGATTTTTTTCAAGAATTGCATTGAAGAATGTTCTTATGAACTTCCTAGTGTTTGTCTTAAGAATCGCAAGTTTTTTCTTAAGAAAGTTTTCGTGAATCCGGCCCCCTGTCTACTAATTTTGTCATAACTTATTACAAATAAGCAAAACCCCTGTATGACTGTGTCCAGACTTTTGACTGGTATGGTACGTTAGCCTTCATGCTCAGAAATGTTCAGTGACAGTAGACTACATAAAGCATTCCAAGGTGCACAGGCACAGTATGTATTTATTTATTTCGTGGTGAACTTCATAAAGTTGTTTTCTTTCATTGTCATTTGGATCTCATCATTGCAAACTTGTAGGAACTTGCAGGAGCCACATCATTTACAAATATTTAGAATGATCAGAGTCAGGCCTGGGATCTGGGGGCGTAGCTTTTATTATGATTTCATTTGTAGGAAATTAACATTTGTACGTCTTCTTGGTGTTACATAAGCAGGTGGCGAGTGGAGGCACCGTGTTCCCTGAACTCTTTATAGCAGCTACAGTCTACCTTTGAATGTGAAATGGCTCTGGCCTGATCTTCTCGAAGCTCTACAGCACCTTCATTTAGTTCCATCCTTAAAGGGAAAAATCCACCGATTCTTCAACCTTTCTGTATAATCAAATCCTTGAGGTGTAAACAGAGTCATTCAGAGTGGTTTGGTGTGAAATGGTTCAGATTTCTTTACAGTGGTGGTGATAAGAACCAGGGGTCGCTATGACTACAACACAAATACAGCCATTTTATTTACTATCCAAAACCAC